TAACGTGCACCCAAATCTGAGTACACGGGCCTACAACATTTCCGCCTCCATCGGAAATGCAGCCGCCACAGCCGGGATTTGATCCCGCGACCTGCGGGTCAGCAGCCGAGTACCTTAGCCACTAGACCACCGCGGCGGGGCAAAAATCTCGCTCGTTCACTGCTTGACATATTGATGGCAGCGACTTAAGGCAAGACATGGCTATACCGTTTTTTACAACTTGGTTATGAAGATCTTGGAGAATAATGCCAGCAAGCGTGGTTCCCGCTAAACGTATAAAGCGATGTCTAGAAGTTGTATTCCGTTATTCTGGGGCAATAATCTAATAAAGTTCAGCCCTATTCTATTTCATTCAAATTTTTCGCTCACAGAGGTCATCACGGTTCCGAAGCCTTCACTTTCCCACAGAAAAATCAAGTAACCATCTACAACGAAAAGCCTTATTAACAATAGAATCACCTAAAGCGCCTTCCAAACGCTTCTCAACTTTGCTAACGTATAAATCAAGAAGAACCGGAGCAACCTTAAAACCAATACATATCCCTGATTTCTGATCATGAACGCTTTCCTTGTAAACTACCAGCGTCGACTTGATATTCAAGGAAGGAATTTCTCGAGAAGCCCACGTAAAAATGCCAAATTCGCCAGGGAAAGCCATCTCGTACCATTGTTCATTATTACAGTCATTAACACATATTAGTAGGTCCTCATACGGCAAACAGTAATATAGGTCTTCAATATTCATACTAAGCTTCACAGCAACCGTGGTTCAATTCTGAAAGGAACTGAACTAGTGCCTGAGAATTACGCATACAAAAATGGTCTGAAAAGGGTCTGGAAAGAGAATAAGCAATTAATTCTGCAAATAAACACAGACAGTTATTTGCATGGGACTTTTTCTGAAACGATTGCTCGAAAATGAATCTTTTTCTTATTCGTTTTCGTTGAGAAAACCCATTCTTAGGTACCTGATTAAGCCTTCTTAATATTACAGGCTGGTTTCTCCAGATTATATCTTAACATAAGGTCGACAGCACGTTAAATCTATCGGTGGTTCAAGTGTTGCCGCCCTAAAGTTCTTTTTCACGGCTGTTAATGTTTTTTTTCTTTTTTGGAACATGCCACCCAGCATAATACGAAATACTCCTCATTATCTGAAATTACTGGCCGCAGTTTCTTCCTTACACAATAATTAACTAAAGACCAGATAGGGTCAGCGCATTAGAGACACATATTAGATTCCTTCATACTAGCAACGCAGTGTGAAATGCAGTGCGAGCGCCCTTTTTCAGGAACTAGTCTAGTACGCGATGGCCGCTTACTGGGCTAGTTGGTTCACTTGAAAGTATGCAACTGCACGTAAAACTAGAAAAAGATGGCGTGGGCAGTCACGTCTTGTCTAGTTTTACTCGCTGTTACATACGTTGATATTACGCGGCAAACTAAGAACGTCTGTTGCTTTGAGGCTCGGCTTAAGACATAATTTTGCACATAAAGATAACAATCTGCAGTGATTATCACCTAAAACAGCTCCTCCGAGGACTAGGTTATTGGTGGTGAAACAATAAAAAAAAATCTTGCCCTTACATGATTGAAGTTCTCAAAGTTTACCCTGTGAAGGAATTCCGCATGCTGGTCAGCTGCCCTCGTCGCGTAGGCTGTTTCACACTCAAGAGAAATCTCGGAGCACGTGGCATGCCGCAACCACGCGCCGTCTGCTGCTTGCGCGTGCGCAGATGATTCAGGAGGGTAGTTTTGAACCACGTCGTCTGCTACGGCCGCCCTTGCTTGCCGCACGGCTGGCGAGCGCACGGATGTATGAATTTATGGCAAGAACTGAGCCGATGACCCGCACTAAACGTTGTGCGAGTTCGCGCCCCTCATGTGTGCGTGTTTCTACGTCATTTGTGTCTACTGTTCAATCAAAAGACCATGGAATGACCACGCCAATTGCCAGATCTGAATATCATCGAAAATGTCTGGGGCTTCATGAAAATGTCGCTGGCACGCTATCCTCTACACGGGCTGTGCGAGGATCGGTTGTGGTCCGCCATCGTCAGCGAGCCGGACGCCCTGCGAGTGAATGCATCGCTCATGGAGTCACTCTATACGCCTGACTGCCGTCAAGAAAGAGTGCCGTCATTACTGCCGCTGGTGACACGACTAAGTGGGATGCGTCACGAGCCGGTTAGTGAGTCTTGTGGTAATGAAATGTCGTCGAAAAGAGACACATTCCACTCCTCGGTACCGCTACTACCACCCCTGAACTTGTGGCGTTCGTTGACGCACCACACTATCCTGGAGCAGCCAATTTCGCGGTTGCGGTCACTGACCCTGATGGTAAACTCCTCGCAGCAGCATCCCTTCGAGATAGCACGCCGGCAAGGGCTGAGCAGGCTGCTATAGCTCTGGTCGTTGCTATTCCCACGCGCACGTGCATTTTAACTGACTCTCGGGCTGCTGAGCATTCATGACGGGCTGAGTTTGTAAGCAGGCGGCCCATATTCTGACCAAAATTTCAAATTGCACTGCAATTGATGGTCGCATCACCTGGTTACCTGCCCACATGGGCCAGAATGTCCACCCTGTTATCCATAATGCCAATGAGTCTGCGCATGTCCGCGCATTGTCCCACCGTGACGGGATTTCGGCCTCTAATTTGGGGGAAGGCATCCCGCAGCTTGATTCCCTCCTCACCTCCAACGGAATATGCAAGCACTATCAATTGTCCAGGCGTAGGTCTCTCAAGGGCCCAGTCAATCACTTCACGAACGCTGCAAACCGGTACTTACCCGTCGCCTTTAGGTTACAATAAGTCTATAGTGACAGCGTAAAGCCTCACTGCCCTCATTGCGACGAGAGACGACGCACGTTATCCCACATGCTCTGGCAATGCACGGCGCTGCGCGATGGCGAGCCTCTCACCACAGAGGGCGCCTGGAAGACTGCGGTCACCAGCTCGGACCGGGAGGTCCGAATCCGGGCTGTCCAGAGGGCCCGCAGTCGACTCGCCCTTTTGAGGGGCATCGGCTTTTCAGGACAATTCGTGAATAAAGTTCGTTGACTGACTGACTGACCCCGCCGACACCGAGCACTGGGGGAGGAAAGCGTGCGATATGAAATGCGCGCGTTTGTGAAGCCACCAGAAGTTTAGCTTTTATTGCGATGTTATATATAACAGACAGTAATGCCAAGGAATGTACAGGGGAAGTTAGAACCAATGGAATGTAAATAAGAAGAAAGAAAAGTGGATGAAAAAATAACCAGCCGTGAGCAGGAATCGAACCTACGACCTCCAAATAAGCATCGGAAGGTCGAATAAGCATCGAACGCGTTATTTGAAGGTCGTAGGTTCGATTCCTGCTCACGGCTGGTTATTTTTTCATCCACTTTTCTTTCTTCTTATTTACATTCCATTGGTTCTAATAACTTCCCCTGTACATTCCTTGGCATTACTGTCTGTTATATATATGTGTGTGTGTGTGCGTGTGTGTGCGCATTCTTTATCGCTGGGAGAATTCCAACTGTAACAGCGCGTTCTCGGATTTTCCAGTGAGATGGCGCGAAGGGCACGCTCGGCAGCCCACTTGTGTTCTTTGCTCTACGGCGCATGGTTCAATCTGCGAGCGAGTGCACTTATCTCGCTGTGGCGGAGAAACCCTGCGCAAACTTTTCCCTCGTATTTCTTGACAAAACTATTTCGTGCCAGTCGCGTATTTCCTAAAAAAAATGTTCCTGCTAGATTGAAACCACTGATAGCTCATATCTGACTGTGCAAGATTAAAAAGCTCATCCTAGAGTACCAATTCTGTGAAACAGTATTAGTGTAAAACAGCATTTCCACTCTAATTGAAAAATCTGTTACGCTAACGGGCTTTCAGTCGACTCACTAAAGCTCATTCGGTATCAGGTCGAGCCGTAAGTCTGTGCGAGTCCGGCTGAATAAGATCGCCACGTTCTTGTTCTCAAGTTTTGTTATCGCCCCAATACACTATGTAATTCTCAGCGCAAACCGCGCCTGCAGTCTTCGAGAAGCTTCAGGAGTGTGGTAGATTATTTCGATAAGATCGCGCCCACTCGGCGAACTATACAGATTATTCTAGAGCCTACGTCACCACTAGCGATAACGCTAGAACATTCGACGGCAAGTGTATAAATGCCGACGCGCTTCGCCGCTGTCAGTTTTATCGACGGCCGACGCTCCGTTCGCCGCTATCAGTGCAAGCCTGCTACTGTAATCCAACTCTCCGTTTACCGGGTACAGGTTCGCCCCAATAAGCAGTTTTAATCTTCAACGTACTCTCCGCTTCTTCGTCGACGTCCCGACCCCGTGACAATATGTCGGCGCGTTTGGTTCACGAGTGAGTTTGGCTGAGAGAAATTTTAGGGAGTCTCGGGACAAGCGAGTGTGATTTACCAAAAATTCGACGAGAGAGTCCGAGCAAATCGTCAAAGCAAAACAGTTTGTGAGTGAGTAGTCTGTGTGAACTCCAATTTTCTTGCCCACCTATGAATAACATGACTAACCAAACCGCGATCAGAGGCTGCGCATTGCGTATCACATGATCATACGTCACCGGTTTCTACGACTCTCCTAGGGCCCGCGCGGAGCGATTCGCGAGATGACGAAGGCGGAAATTACAGTTAGGATCTTCCGGAAGAAATACAAGAATATTCCGCTGCAGCGTGAATTCTCACCTGTTTTGTGAATGATGGTTGCAGAGGAATCATGATCACGTCAAATGTCGCATCACGTGACTGATAAGCCAGCGATCTAGTCTGCAAGTGTATACATTCACCGTGCAAGTACTCACGCGAAAAAAGAATTCTGTGGAGTTCTCGTCTTAAAAAAAGAATTCAGGCAGCAGCAATGCCCAGAGGCGCCGACATCTCTTTCCTTCTCGAGATTACAGCTTGTTCATCTGTGGCATCAACTGCTTTGATGTTTCATGCACCACAAGCAGCGAGTGTGTAGGCCAGTGATCAACAACAACAACGTATTTCGCTGAAACTCTCATATAGGTTTAATTAACACGCACACACACACAATTGTTTCACCGTCATAAAGTGAGCAAATTCTCATCAGCAAATATCTGTACAGACGCTATCAGGTAAACAAACAAACGATACAAAGGAGGCGGTAGAGCGCGAAGCTTGAAGAAGTGCGATTTGTCATAACGCCGGGAAGTGCTTCGTATGTACAGTGATGGTTTCGCTTCCCAGTTTTCCATGCGTCACACAGCAGAAAGCTGGGAGGCCAAGAGCTACAGTCAAGGTCACAGAAATAAAAGAATGAAAAAACAAAAATAGTAAGCGAGCAACACACTGCTTAGTGTGCTTTCTGTAATACCAACTTGGGAAAGGAGCAGGACAGTTTTTTTTAGCACCGAAACTTCTTTTTCTCTGACATGCTTAATGACTCAGCAGACTTGCCACAATGCTCCTCGCACCCTCTGTGGCGTGTATGGCAGTCCGGTTTACAATACAGTATACACGACAAAACATTTCACACACATCTACGCCGTTTAGAAACATTACGAAGGGCCACAGTCAAAATTTAAGTTGATCACCGCTTTGCAAGCTAATTAGAGATGTATCTTATTATTGGGACACCACGCTTGCATAGAGACAACAAGTCGTGCTTTTCCTCCTCCCCCCTTTGTTTTATCAGACACACGACATACTCAATCACAGTGTCGCCAATGGGAAGAATCCGACGAAGGAAGCATTGAAAGAACGCGCCCACTGAAATCAACGTTATGTACAACACTGATGAGGGTATAACCAACTCTAATTGGCACCAGCCAACCAGTTAAGCTTAGAAGGCCACTTGTAATATCCAACGAAACTGAGCACTTATATTACAACCAGAAATGCACTACGCAGGAGCATGCCTTCAAAATACATGCTTCAGACAGGTGACATATTTCGTGTGGTAATTTATGCAGCGTGGATGACAACCCCTGCAAGTAGATAAGTTTTGACGTGAGCACGGGGATGATAATAGTACCAGAAATGAAAATGCGTGTACATTTTGTGTCAGTTTTATGTTTTAATGTACCTTTCCTCCAAACTTCTGCAGAACTCATTGTCCTAGAGAATCTTCAGGAGGCATAATGGCAATTTATTAGGTCAATATTCTAATTTTCAGGACGTTGCTTGAACATAAACGTACACATTTCACTTCGAGCAAAGAATAAGCAGGCTATTTCCATTGCTTTTTTTACATGCTGCTTCAAAAATCATCAATGCTGAAAACTCGGTAATGCCCGTTTTATAGTGTAGTAATGATTTCCACTGCATCCTGGTTAAACTCAGGCCGCAAGTGTTACGCTTCCTCACACCCTATTCGTTAAGCCTCACTCTAAAACGCTGCTCTCTCATATCTTCCACTCAGCGCTTTCCTTCGAGACTGTAGTGAAATACGCTGGAGTGTCTGTCGCCCACAACTCTGCAAGATACGTTGCACACAACACATCACACATCACTGTATATGGCACATGTTACTTGCAGGCTGTGTGTTATTGCATGTAGAATTATGTGAGACAAGCAGAGAGCGGCCATTTTTTCAAGCCACTGATAGAAAGAAAAAAAAAACAGGAAAGCAGTGATTGTGCTGTATGTTCACAAAAAACCCAGGGCTTAACTGCAGTTCCTACATGCCAGCATTTGAAAAGCGGAGTATTCCATGAAAGGTTCGGTGCGCTGCAAAATATGGACACAACTACTGATGAGAGGTCAGTCTTTAAAGCAAAAGAAGGGATCACTCTCGAATCAGGACGCAATAATAAAGTACTACGCTAAAAACACTGCAAGGTCACACTACTCAAGTTAATAAATAAGGCTACCCTTGCCTTGCTTTTATTTTTTATTTCTAATCTAGTCAGGGAAACGTGACAACTTCATGCACCGACAGATACACTCGCATGCACACACACACACACACTGATGCACACTCACATGAACAATTACAATTATTAACAGCTCTTTGGTTCCTGACTTGAAACACCGCAAATGTGGTGGCACCACGAGTCTCTTCGGAAATACGACACTTCGTGGGCGTGCACCATCAGCGTCCGTTTCTTTTCTTTTTTTCTTCGTTTTCCACAGGGTCTAGCATTAGTTCCCCGCACACACACACTCACTGTCCACACAATGTCTGCAGCGAGGGGCACACAACACTCTCGGTTGCTTCGTGGAGAGCTCAAGTCCTATTTACATCGAGGTCTCCTGCCATCATACATGGGTGGCTAGCGTGCCCGGCTTGACATGGCTCTGTTGCGATGTGATGTACCTAAATGAAGAATAAAGGAAGAGCGTGATAAGTTTCGTGGCATTTACAATATATGCAATAAATGCGCGTGAAAAAGAAAAAACAACAACATGAAAGTTTGTTATATGCGTACAGGAACGCAAACTATCGCTGTAAAGTCAAGCCGCCGTTCTCAGTGTGACAGTTATGTCGCACGGATCTAACCACATGAAATGGTTCACATCAAGTGCTTTGGCTCCAAGTGGTACTTTGAGCCAAGCGCTTAGCCTAGCCATGGTGACATTAGGTGATGCTGAGCGTAGCCTTCTCTTTACACAAATGAAGTGCCACAGAGTAGTGAAGGTGAAACATACATTCCATATTTTCCATGACATAAAAAGGAAAGCATAGTTCGTGTTAGATTATGGCTGACCTGTTCTGGGGCAATGTTGCGCACGAAGCACCGGGTATGCCAGCAGTATTAGCAACGACCGACGGCATGGCCCTTGGGCTGACGTACACGCCCTGAGGAGGTGGAAGGTTCGACTGCGAGGTGCGCAGGTATGGGTTTGCGTACCCCGCTCGAAACCGCGGGTCGATGCCCTGGCCCAGGTCATTGAGCGACTGCGGTGAGCTGCCGTACAGGCCACTGTCGCGGCTCGCGTTCAGCTGCAGTGACGCTGCCACCGGCGGTGGATTGTAGTCGCGCGAGTAGTCCACGTACGGGATGTAACCGTTGTTGTTTTGAGCCTCCTGCAAAAAAAATAATGCTGGGCTCAGGTGGTGAATGCAGCCTTTTTCTTATATATAGCAGTTGACTAACTTATTTTGAAGCTTTAAGGTTGCCTAAAACATCAATTGATGCTCGGCGAATTTCTATTGCACGAACCTGTTTTTCCTATACAAACACAAACGTTGTCAAGTTAGTCATTTATGAACTCAAGTGACATAGAGTACTTGGCAAGTTTGTATATATTAACAGCGTCGTTCTGTGCGCTCTTTACTAAGCACTGTATTTCTCACCCTATGCTTTGACATTGATGAACGCCCAGGAGTTGCCGTACACTATGTAATTAATATATTTGTAACACTATGTAATTAATTTATTTGTAACATTAGTAATATCAGAAGATTAAAAGCTTTACGACAACCCGCAATAGGGCCAACCGTGATTCCGGAGATTCAACGGTAACACGAAGAGAGCTTAATGTAATTAATCGACGAAGTTGCAGAGAATAAAAGTCCTAATTCTGCACAGAATACGCACACACAATTTGTCCTACTGCAAAATTGCAACTTCTACTCACCGATTTCGCGGGAAAAGTCGCGTCTCCGTAGTCGGCAGCACTGTTGGCGTACTTGTAGATATCCGCTGCGTCATGTGTTCGTGCCGATTCACTATTGTCCTCCCAGTTGCGGTCATGCTCGTTATTGGACAATGACGACGCTGTTCTGATTTCCACTTTAATGTCCGAGTCTCCGGAGGATGCAGAGTCTGATTGCTTCCCCTTCTTTTCAGAGTTGAAGTCATCGTCTGTGAGACATAAAAGAGAAGGCTTCACTTGAGAGAATGCAAAGTGCTCCTGATAAAGTTTGCAACACAGTCTATGTTCAAGCTCTTTTCTGTTAACGCTTGTAAACTAGCCCACTGTTATGCATAAACACTTATCTATATTCATTTGCATTGGATCTACTGATTTGTATCTTGACTTTCAGTTATGCACATTTGTTAGTTTTCTTTCCCTTTAGCTTTATGAACACTTATGCCATAGTTCAGCTATACACTTAAAGATACGACAGCTGCAGTGTAAGTGGTGCCTTCCATTGTTTTTTTTATTCTGTTAAAGAAAATGAAGTTACCATACCAATGATACCACTCAGCACTAACACCAGTAAAAGCACTGCTCAGCTCAATAAACATGAGCAGCACTGCACAAGAACACGTTATAGTGATTATATTTACAACATACGTGAATTACTAAACATTACTCTTGGCAATTGGGTCACTTTTCAGTTGTTTAAATCATTTATTACAAGAGGACAACAGAGGCTACTGTACTGACTCTTTGTATCTTATGATTCAGCAAAAGCACATAAAGCCGGATGACTTAAAAAGGTTGGCAGTCACCGAAACGCAAAAGAAGTTCAGGCAAACAAGTGTTTGGCGTGGTGTACAATGCGATTACAGAGCTGGTCTAAGAGCATGCGCAACTGTATTAGATTAGTGGCAGGGGACCATAAGTGCTTGAATGCTGGTCTCTGGAAGAAACTGTCTGGTGCTCTTAAGTTCCCCAATGTTATGTCGATAATGTTGATAATGAGACGTCAGTAACTATTGCCTCAAGACCAGTTTTAAGCTGGGGCACACACAGTGTAACCTACCTTTGACAATGTTTTTCTTTCGCAGGCAGAGGATAATAGAGATTGTCACGGTCACGACAAGCACGATGCCTCCGATGACCCCAGCCAGGATGATCACCATGGGAAGGTTTTCTGTGTGGTGGCAAAAGTTGGCAAATTATCAAATGTCAGTTCCCACATTAATCTAAGAACAAAGGTCTCCTAATATAAACAAGCATAAATATTCTGTTTATAAAAAAATGAAAATGTGCATACAAAAAGTGACGTTTCTAAACTGATTTGCATACTTACTGTTTTCAGAAAACTACGATTAAGTTTTACGCACTTGATCCATTTATGCTATATTTCGCGATGGCATCATGCTGTTTCAAAATCAAGCAATTCGCAATGCTCGCTCAATGCAGATAACACATAATAAATTACGAGTGTTCCTGTTCTATTTTATTCATACTGACTAGAACCGTACTTTCACGGTCTTGCAGCACTCTTTTTTCGTAGCTAAATTTAGCTCAAATTTGCGTGTACTTTACAATTGCACACAAAATATAAACCAGCATCAAGTTATTTCTTTGTTTTCCTCATGTGAAATAACCTGCGTGGTAGAATAAAATACGAGCTATAATCATGAAAATAAGGTACTTGTTTCCGAGATTCACCTTATGCAAGTAAATCTGTCGCAAGCACCGTATTTTTTTCTTTTTTAAATCACGCACTAAAACATTCACTCAAGTTTCCTGTAAAGCGTGCTCTGCCTGCATAATACCATTTATTAGGTGAAGCTGAATCTAAACAAAGATCTTCAAAAAGCTGAGTGCTTGCTTTTGCTGGGCCAAAATCAATTCCCGTCACTGAGACCAATTATCGCAGTAATGCTTACTTTGTTTCCTAACAGTGATGAGCCTCGTGTCGTAGCCGAACTGGTTCCATACGGAACAGTTGTACTGGCCAAAGTCCTCTTCGGCAGCATTATGGATGATCAGCAAGTTCTTGAGGCCGTTCGACAGGGGCTCCTTTATGATTTCGTAGCCCTGGTTGTTGTCGATGTCAACCAGCTATACAAAAAAAAGAGAAAGAGAAAAGTCATGAGGTGGCATGAAGGAGGGGGCAGGTGACAAAAATGTATTCAGATTGTACCAATCTTAAACACCTTTGAATAAAAAATAATAGATAGGATATGTCTATTATACCAATCTTAAACACCTTTGAATAAAAAATAATAGATAGGATATGTCTATTATGAACACATATTTGAGTTGTGCAAAAAAGGCGCAAACGAAAAAAAGTGAACAACACGGGCACAAACTTCAACTGGAAGACCAAAGCGGCTCTATGTCTTTTTGGCGCAACAAAAATATGTGTTCAAGTATGCACCAACTTGCTGAAGCTAAAGTTTTACTTAATGTTTACTAGGATGTCTATTACAATGTCTGTTATCCTGTTTATTGTATTTTCCGGTTAATATTGAAAGAACAGACATGAAAATAGCGAAATCATGTCTCGGAAATAAAAAATTAAGGGCGAAGCAAGAGTTGATCATTATACTAGAAATGGTCAGCACACTTTTAGTTCACATTACAAATATGACACACGATGAGAACATACTATTGCACCATTGCTGAATTCTGGTACAAGAATTAGCACATTTGTAAAGACGACATTTGGGACTAAAAGGTGATCAAACCTACAACTAGGATGATAAGGGAACCAACATGTGGCTGCAATATAGCTTTGAAAGAAATAGTGAAGAAAAACAAAGATGTGACTTGATGGGAAAGCCTAGGCCTGCCTTCACGATTGTCGTCAGGATTATCAAATAAGGTTCTTGTCACTGACAGTGTCATGTGTCCATGAGTCATTCCAACACACTGGGATATTATTTAGAATAATGGTTGGGCATGAACATAGAAATTCTAGTGTCATCATTCCTCCTCGTTCCTCCAGCACTCAATTGTCCACTCCAAATGTCAGCCATCTCCATAGCTTTATAATCATAACTCTTTGCCACTTATTTACACTGTAAACATTTATTGCAACTCTCGAGATTTTAATACGTATACCTATTACCCTCTTTTAGCGCGACGAATTTTAGGCCCCTATACAGCCGCTTAACATAACCTTTGTTCGCACTTGTTATCATGCACTGGCACTTTCTGGCCATCAAATGGCTCTTGTGCCAATAAACATCATATATAACAATCAGATATGAGCGTACCGTCTTTGATCTAAAACAACCTTTAACATTCTTAAGTTCATTCGGCTGCAAAAAAAAATAATAAAGAGAAATCAGTGAGTCCCGATGTTTGTTACAGAAATATGAAACTCACAAAAAGCTCAAGGCCGCTTGGTCAGTACTGCTACCAGTCTGAATTATTCATCACCGTAAACAGTATCATTCGTGACTCGACTGGTTTTCTGCGAGGACCAATTTATGCAAGCTCGCTTCGCATAAACAATGTCGTTGTTTGGAAAAGACTCTTTGTAAAGATGTGTCTGCTCGTTTGTGGACAGCCGGATGAAAAAAAAAAGAAAGAAAAGCGATACGAACAGCAAAAGTGACATGGAGTTCGCGTACCAGAACGCCAGAGCAGCGGGCAGAAAGCGATTAAGGTTCCTTAACTATCAGCGACGACGACAGGGCCGACGGATGCTGCCGTTTCTTCCGCGGAACCATGTTTCACGCGCGGCAAATTGAATGTCGCCAGCAGCGGACGCGGGCTCGGCAGCCAGCGCAGCAAAACTGGAGACGGCAACGACGGCGGCCGGACCGTTGTTAATCACGGCCGCAAGCGCGTCATTTAAGCGTGAGACTCCGCGGCGGGCTCCGAGCTGCACTCGGTATACACCGGACGGGACACCAGATTAATCAACGAAATGGTGCAGAAAAGTAAACTGTCGGACACCGCTAAGAGAGGGAAAGAGAAGCCACGATCTACAACAACAGCTACAAATAGCGAGGCAGACGTAGAGGGGAAAGAGAGAGGGAGGGAGAGAGAAGATGGCGACGCAGAAGGGAAAAGTTGTCGAGACAACGAAAACGGGCCTCCGATACAGCGCGAAGCACCGGGAAGAGCGGACAACCCTTCAGCGAGGTTGAAGACCAGCACGAGCAGTAGCAGGAGCATGCTCGAGCGTCCGGTGGCCGTCTTTGGAGCGGCCTCAATCAATACTCATTAAGGAACGTTTCGTCATCGTCAGAGCCCGTTTCCTTCGGGCCCGCGCTTCGCCACCGAGTCCTTTACAGGATTGATGGCGCGGCCTTATCTGGCGCGTCCGCTCCTTCTTTCTTTCTTCCTCCTTTTTCTACCTTCTTTCTTTTTCCTACCCCTCCCTTTCTCATCCAAACTGCCTAGCCTCTCCTCGGTCGGCGGGCCATCCCTTCCGCGTTCGTTCCCGACGGTTTCCGAAAATAAAAATAAAAAAAGAACGAAGAAACACACGGCTCTTGGCACGGAGAAGACGCTGTTGGCCTCGGGGTTCAACGAATTGGGTTCGGCCAGATGACACTGCCGTCGCCCACGCTTCCCTGTACACTCTTTCTCTCGATTTTCCTTCCGATATGTCTTTTCCTTTATTTATTTTTGGTTCTTGCGGTACTGTTATCAGTTGGCGCAGAATGAGAACCGCGGAAACCCCGAGAAATAAGACGAGCCACTGGGTGTAAAGGAAAAAAAGAAAAGCCAGAAAAAGCCTCCTTCCCTTACTCCTACACCCTCGCAGAAAACGGTAAAATAATAAACCATACACAACAACAAAAAAAGCACACATCGAATCGCGGCGTCAGCTACCGCCACTGCTCGTTTTTCACGGCGCGACCCTCGGGGGAGTTGTTCAAATTAAATGCGTGGCCCGCCGTAATGTCAGGCTTCGTACAAGTTCACTGGACTTTTTTTTTTTACCCTCATATACCACGCTTCCCATGTCCGCGGCCTGTCTAATTTGTCGCCAGTAGGGTTCTTTCTAATAACGAGACAGTCTGAGCTCATTTGCCTTCTCTTTGCCGAATACTGGAGGGGCGACGAACTCGATCGAAGACCCAGCTACGGCGATTATAAGAGATTGGAGGACAAAACAAAAAAAAGGGAGCCGGTTTTATTACAATATACATCCCCCGCCTGAGGCCCTTCTTTTTCTTGAGTTTCCGTAATTAAAAAAAAATAAAGTTGGCGACACGTGACTTTGCTGGTAGACCCAAGTTTTTCTTTCCTTCAATAACACGGCCCATAAAACACAGACGCATTAGGTAAATGGCCGAAATCGGACGCTTGTTTCGTTAAAAGGCCGGACTAAAAGTGGACGAGGAGCGAGAGGGCGATTAAGCCGATAGATAATTCCAGTTTTCACGTTGAAGACTTCGAGTTCGAAAGGAAGCAAGCGCTATTTCTTTTATCACTTATTTGGCGAAAAGTGTAAGGAGGAAAAAAAAATTCGCGGAAAGCGGTAGACCTACGATAGCAAAATAATCAGTGCCTGCTTTCTTAAAGACTACGATAGGGTTGTCCACAGAAGAAAAAAAAACATTTTAGCAAATCACGATGTAGGGCATATCATTAACAAGAGTGGTTGATAAATGACAAAGAAACACATATGAACTGAAAGCGGCATAAGTTAGGTCTGTTTTTAGTAGTATGCACGCTGGATTGAGCCAGTAACGTATTTAATACCCCGGCCAAATAGATTATATCGAAAATAACGTAAGGCGTGAAGGTAATAAGGATGAGGAAATAATAAAAGGGGATATAAATGGCTTCTCAACCGGTGCAAAACTCGCCACGTTGTTGCGCAGTTTTACTGCCACTTGAAATGGTAGTGAGCGAGAACTAAGAGTTTTTTTTTAGCTTAAACCTGCCAGTATAAATCGAATAAAGGCTTCCTTGTTTTTTGCTCAAACACAGCGCGAAGCGAAGGCAGAGTGGTGACTGACATCTGAACAAGGCATCCATCAACAATAAATTACACATCACATTTCATTGCACCCTTTTAGTTGCTTTGAAGCTAGCTTTCCCGCGAGATACGACTTTGCCAAGCTAAAACCGTCGCGCCAATTTTCGCGAATGTTCACTCATGTGAGCGCAACTTAAGTTTCTTATCTTAAGAAAAAAAAAATGTTGAGCTGGCTCGCGCTAAGAAACAATACACAGAAAACAACTCCCAGAACGTGAAGCTGACAACATTACCTTACACATAAAGCACGGTCGCAATCACCGTAAGTTGCGCAAATATACAACGCCGACAAACCCCACTTGCGAGAGTGGTAGAAAGCGGGATCTCCATCGCCATCCCTGACGGTGTTCAAAGTTGTCCGTAAGATCCAGCAGGAAAAGCGCATAAACGCGGTGATATAAGTGACGCATGCTTGCGATGAAAGTCACTTCCAGAACACTAAACTCTTTTCACAAAGTAGACCAAGTATCGCTGCAGTTTAAGGTGGTAAGCGACATAGCGGGAAGAGGGTTGCGCCTTACCTGCAGATTCCTGGACCAGGCAACCCTGGTGGGTGGCGGAACGGAAGTGATGACGCACTCAACGCGCACCTGCTCCCCTTCAACGCCATACTGGGTCGTGGGGCTACTCACTTTCGGAGGGCCTGCGAGGAGAACAAACAAAATAAGCATAAGAGGTCCACACGCTTCTCACTGGGAGCTGTGTCGGGCATGCCTCTGCGCTAGGGACTTTAATCGTATTTATCTCTCTCCACGATTCATATAGAAGTGCGTTGTCCAACCTACAACGCAGGGAAGCAGCCACACTACGGCAGTTGCAGGTACAAGCCATATGGACCCCCGTCTGGAAAAAACACGTCTTCCCGGAGGTATACTCTACAGACATATGTCAACTTTGCAAGAAGGCGCGAGCCAGACAGAGACATCTCCTCTGGGACTGTGCGCCGCCGCTGGGTAACCAAGAAGCAAAGCCAACTAACACCAGCAGCAAAATCATGAGCCAAGAGCCAGGCCACCAAAGAGACGTGGTCTAGCACGTGCTTGGCATCCTGGAACGCCAGTGGCTGAAAGCGGCACCTCCACGGGTTTGACGGGAGTAGGTTGCTGCTTCAGGACGTCCGAGCACGCTAGAGTCTTGCTTTAGTTTTCCTACATCTTCCCCCTTTATGCCAGATCAAAAGTAAAGTTGTTTCACTCACTCACTCACTCACTCACTCACTCACTGACTCTCGCCTCTACTATGCGTCTTGCACTGAGCTGCCAAAAGCTACAAATGTGCTACTTAAGCGGGTACCAACGCAGTTACTTAAGCGGGTACTAACACAAACCAGCCGCACCTGCGAGCCTGATAATTGGGTACCCAGCAGGTGCACAGCCGATTTCATAAGTTGTTATCGTTTCAGAGTAAATTATTTGAGATCTACACTGTTTCAGTTTTTCAAATGAAGCTTATTCGAGCGCTGCCACGTGCGTTCTTGTGAAATCAATCAATCGCCAATTCGCTTAGGAAAAGAAACCTAGAAAAAGAAAAGTCCTCGTAAGTGCGCAAATGATGGCGTAAGAGGTTGAGGTTCTTCTCGCCTACAGCTCCAAGTGCCGTCTTCCATTTATCTTCTTATTAAGCCGCGAGTAAAACCACGAACACATTACCGACTAAACCCCACCGAGAGTTCGCTTAAACCCATCTGCAAAACTGCCAGAACAAGAAAAAGTCTCCATTAGCGGGCTGTTGCTCAAGTTAACCTGGAGACATTTCTTAATGTATACCTGTACTTAATGTGTGCTTCAAGAGGACATTGAAGAATACTGCAAACACTGCAACTCTCTTTTAAATAGCGGAGACCAGTGGGCTCACGCACAACGGTCCCACGCCCTCTGAAGTAGTGGCAACATTTCAACGTGCGGTCGCAATGGCGCACCTTTGACGTAGACGTGCACGTCCTGGGTGATCTCCGGGAAGCCGGGCACCATGGCTCGGCACGAGTAGCGGCCGGCGTCGCTGGGCCTCATCGCGGGGATGACGAGCGTCGGCTGTCGGGCCAGCACGCGCTCCGAGCCCTCGTGAAGCCACACAATGTCCGGCTTCGGGTTGGAGTCCACCTCGCACCGCAGCGCCACCTCGGCACCTTCCTCGGCGGCCACCGTCTCGGCCGCGCTCTTGAAAGCGGGACGGTCTGCGAAAGGAAAGGCGTGTAGGTAAGGGCTACTGCGTGATCACTGAATGAGAACACGAGAGCTGACTACCAACTAGGCTTAAGGGTCGCAAAACAAAAACATTGGTCGTTTCCGTCACTCTTTTGCTTCTTCAGTCATTCTTTGCCAGTACACGGTCGTCCTTTATGAAAGGGAACACGCAACCAAATGGCTTACACTCTGCGGCGGCTGCCTACAGCATCAGACGACAGCTAAAGAAAGCGACAGCTAAAGAAAGCGTGCCCGCTTCTGGCCTTATCTCTGGAAAACAAAATAAGGAGCCATGGCCAGATGTGGCTATTCGCTGGAAGATTACGCTCCCACTTTGGCCGCGAAGCGGGAGATACCGCCAAAAGCGGACGTGCTTCTTGCAGCTCTCGGTTGATGGAGCTGTACACAGCCAAAGAGCGCAGGCCGCGAACTCGCGTGCTCCCTTTCGTTAAAAAAAAAAAAAACGACAAGTGTGCATGAGCACGACCTGCGCTTCACGCGGCCCATTTTCATCGAGTGCATGATCAAACCGTCAGTTCAATGGGTTGGGTTTCATCGTCATCATAATCATCATCATCCTGACTATGCACCTTGCAGGACAAAGGCCTCTCCCATGATCAACTCCCCCACGTTATACCTGCGAACTTTTAAACCTCATCGGCCTACCTTACTTTCTGTCTCCCCCTTGTGCGCTTGTCTTCTCTGGGAATCCAGTCAGTTACCTTTAATGACCAGCGGTTATCCTGCCTACGCGCTATGTGCCTAGCCCATGTCCATTCCTTTTTGATTTTCAACTGCGATATCTTTATACCCCATTTGTGTGATGACCCACTCTGCTCTCTTTTTTTCTCTAAGGTTACATCTATCATTTTCTTTTCCGTCGCTTGTTACATCGTCTTCAACTTAAGCCAAACCATCTTTGTGGGCCTCCAGATTTCTGGAGGTACCGATGTTTATAACGTCTCAAACCGCAACAATAGATGAAAAACGGTGTCGCTTGGGGTCGTTTTTTTTTTCATTAGCTTATCAGGTCATTATAAAATACTTACACACCTTCACAGGCACCAATCATAGGTCGGCAAACTCACTTCCGGGTCGACTCACCCGGACTCAGACTAAGATATACCGCGAGTCTGTGCAAGTCCGGATGATTATTACTTTCGTGAGTCCGAGTAAGCCCAAAGCATAAGATATATTTTTCTGAGTGATGCAGAGAGAGTTCCACCTTCTTTTGCCGACCTAAGGGACTCCTGTCTAGTCATCTTCAGCATTATTATCAGCCTTACATGAATTCCCGTCTACACTGACGTCCACCCGCAGGTACTCCAAAGGAGTGCCGTGCCGTTCGTGCACCGTTTCAATGTTTATTGATCAGGTGCGTGAAATGCGTGGGGGGGGGGGGGGGGGCGCTCTTGCCCTACTGATTCTTCCGGAGAAGTTCTTAATATTATGCTGTCCTCTCTTCCATGAAAGATGACGTTTGGATGATGGTTTGGAACCACTCAGAACTTGTTTTTAAAAAATGCCGCCCACATCTTCCCACGGGGGAACTCGAGTAAGTGCGTCACTGAGTGGTGGGGCATCGCGTGAATGTTGCGTATACTCGGCGACAACTTATCTTAGCACTGAAGGAAAAGCTACGAAGGCGGATCTTCTGCACATCCGACAAATCTAGTATCCAACAAATATAGTCAAAAGAAACGAAAAAGAGGGGCAGACAAATTTAATTTTCTCGCATTGCGCGATTCATCAAGGCACAAAGTGGACATTCGGCCAGATCGAAAATAGCAGCAATGTCTGTATAAAAAAATGTACACAAATGATAAGGGCCCTTATTGTTAAAGACAGAATAAATTTGCTTCAGAGAAAACCTACACCCGGAACACCCGCTCCTTAAATAGTAAAAAAAAACACACAAATAAAAACTGGACAGCGAGAAATCGCATCGCTGAGGCCATTCTAAAGTGGGCGGCGACAAATGGCTATTGACAGCCCTTTCGGACTTCCTAAATGTGAAAAACGAACGGGCCGAGGCACTCTAATAAAATAGATAAACAACGCAAATAGCAGTGAATATATACGGGGAGAGAATGAACGGGGGGTCTTGAGCGATCGGTGGTCGAACACGTAAATTTGGCGCACAAAAGCGCCCACTCGCGGTAGTTGTCCCTATCGCCCTTAAAACGTCACGGCTTGTTTTTTTCCCCGGTTCCGGAGATGTTTTGCAGGCGCCTTCCGCCGCCGCCGCCTCCATTCGGACAAGCGAAAGCTCCCTAATCAAATTTTGCGAGCTCTCCTTCCCTTTACGGCGTCTGCTGGCGCTATACATTTTCCTCCCCGGTGCCCTTTTTTCTGTCTCTTAATCTTTCCTTTTTTCCCTTTACTTGTCATTTCCTTCCTGGCAAACGCAAGAAGTGGGAATCTAAGGCACGGGGAAAAATAGGGAAAGGAAAGCGTCAAGTACTACCATAGCCTGGACATTTATTTCTCGCTGGACGTCAAAAGAAAATGTACAGAAATAAATAGGAATGTTCAGAGTTTGGTGAGGGTGCATAAAGAAAACAAGCGACCCAGACCGAACATCGAAGAGGGAAGCGGGGAGGAAAGTAAGGCTTGCTTGTGCGTACTTGCTTGTGCGTACGAAAGAGAGAGAGAAATCCGGAATTGGGAGTCGCAAACAAAGGAAAGGAAAGGGAAACAACAGCCAAAGACGCGAGAGGGCACAGAGAGAAGACGCGAAAGGGTTAGGTATGTCTCGCCAGCTTTGTATACATGAAAAGTAAGCATACTCCCGCGTAAGAGCGCAGGAACTCGAAAAAAAAAGAAAGAAGGAAAGAAAGAAAACTCATTCCATTCCAACGGCTGTCTTGTCTCTCTCCTACTCACTCGACCGGTGTTACGCCTTGGTACTGTGTTTTGCTTCCTAGTTTCCCTATTCGCTTACTCTTTTGTTTCCTATTTCCTCCTCCTCCCAACCTCTTCCTTATAGTCTTCCCTCCTCCCTCCTCAACATTCGATTCCTTTATTTCCCTTTGGCGTTATTTCTCTTGGCCCCGGTAGACACCGAAAGCAGACCCACGTGTTTCACTAGCGAAAGCGCGAGCGCGCGTGTGTATACGTGTATAATATATAACGGACGTATTTCTCGCGCGGAACTAAGCCGGCCAAGGGAAGCACAGGAGAGTTATGACTTTCTCGACATTCCCGTTCCCGTTACAGATGAGTGGGGAAGGGGAAGGATCGCGCCCGGGGGATAGGGGAGGGCGTTTGTGGAAGCAAGACAGACAAGGGGCCGTTTTTTTGTTCTTTGCTTCTTTCGTTATACGGATAGCTCCACGAAAGCGGAAGGGGGGAGGGAGATTTGTTCAAACTAAATGTAGGTCAGACAAACGCTCGCTTTGAAGAACGGCCTTAAAGCTAGCGTGGCTGGAAAAGACGGAAAAAAGGAGAGAAATTAAAAAAAAAAAACTTTTCAGAGAACAGAACAAAAGACGACGGCTTCTCCGTCAGGCCAGAACAAAAGAAGACGGCTTCTCCGTCAGGCCCGTTTACACACAGTGAAGATAACTTGCCGGCGCGGTGTCGGATCAGACAGAGCAATGGGTAACGGTCCCAGAGTCGTGTCCGGCCTCCTTATTTCTTTTTATCATCCCGCTTGTATCCCACTAACTTGTTTCCGCTGTCGGATTTCACTCGATAGAGGGCGATATTTAATAGAATAAAAGGAAGAAAGGCGTTATAAAGAACAGTCTCTTGAGCCGCTTCGCGAGAAATTCTACGCTACTTTTTAATCAATGTGCGTACTACCGAACGGGAACCGGAATGCTTCTCTGTTACGTTTAATCAGTGTAGCGACAAAAAGGTAATTTTAAAATAGCCGAATAAATCATCCCAAAAATCATCCCACACATTGCGGCTTAAGCCAAATGAATGAGTTACACGTACTGCATGTGCTTCGCACAAGCATTTCATGATATTCGCATACAAAACCTTTTATTGCAATAGCAATTATATGGACAGTCTCGGCTGCTTTTTACCGCTGTCGCCGCCATCATTATATATATATATATATATATATATATATATATATATATATATATATATATATATATATATATATATATATATCGTCTGCGAACGCGCTTATATAGTGAGCGAACAAAGGGGGGGGGGGGCGCTTATGGTTGCCGCGCTACTGCGACAACGATCAGTTCGCGCCTTGTGCAGCAGGCGGGAGCTTCTACGGGCTGCGCTGTCAACACGAAAAAACGGTGCCAAGAGCGTACCTGGAGTGGCAGTGTTCTCTTACACCAGCGCTTTGTAGAGTACGACTGCCAGCCTCACTTCGTATAAACATTGTAATTTGTCGCTGTCACATTCATTGCTTCACCTTTTAGAGCGAAGGCTGTTATGAGATCACAACTCGGGTCACGCGCGGCGCCGTCGCTGTCTGTCACCGCCACCACCGGTGTCCGTTACCACAATCGCGAAATAAGAAGAAAACCTAGTACCAAGGCAACACCGCCTAGAAAAACTATGCCTGGAACGTGGTTCTCTTTTCAATTGGGAGCTTCCTGCCAGCACGAAATCTCGGAGGCCATGCCTCCTGTCACGTGTTGTGACCGTCCGCCGAGTGCGACCGCTCGCCTCCATACCGCTCGGTCACGTGACATTTACCGTACCACTCTGTCACGTGACATTACAGCTGCTCCAAGGCAACTGTCAGAGCATTGCTGTGTTCGCAGGGGGTGACCATCAAAGGCGTTCGCCTTCGTACCGGAGGGGGAGGGTAAAATCCTAGAGTAGGGCGGCAAGCTCGCGGCTCACGTTCCAGGCATAATTTTTCTAGGAGGCGTTGACCAAGGACACTGTGGGGCTCGAACCGGGTCCGCTGAGTGCCAGCCCCGTATTCTACCACTGAGCCACGCCGGTGCTTGTGCATTGTTCACAAATTTGCCCTAGGCAGGCTTGATGTCGGGAAAGGAATCGCGGTAATATGAGTAATGAAGCGTTTTAGAACAGAAAAAGAACAACGAGGCGCCACACAATGCGAATAGTGTAATGAGTGGGTCTTCCAATGTTCCCACCCATTACAAAAGCTTGTTTTTGTTCATATTAACTGTGGTGCATACCCACTCCAGGCATAATTCGTCATCTTCGACGGCCACTGCATGAACAATTAGCACAAAATTCCTTTCAAGTGAAGTAAGCGGATACAACGCTTTTTAGAAGAATGACGAAAAATAGCAAAGAGAACGCTGGTCTACTACCCAGAAATTATTATTATTAATGCCGCAGTGGGTGCCCAGCAAGTGTGCTTGCAGCAGTTACCCAATGAGTGTTCAGAAAAGGCTCTGAAAGGCCGCACTGAAAGGCCGCAAAAGGAAGACATCAACAAATGCGAGACTAGAACCGATAAAGTCGAGTCGGAAGCTAACCTCTGGCGCATTGAACAGCGGTCGCATCCGAGCCCACCTGCGAAACCTTCAAATTTTCACAACAAAGAAATGTTTGCACGACAATAGTCGTGGCTCGTAACGAATTTAAGCTGGAACCCGGGTACCAGGTAAACTTGTTGATATGACAAAAAAGCTTTATATTCGTTGGAGGCGACACCGATGGCATTGTCAAAGCAACCCGAGTCGATACGCGACGTTAGCTACCAGCTCTGAGGGCTCGAAATCGTAGCGATTTGTAGCGAGAACTAATAATAATAATAATAATAATAATAATAATAATAATAATAATAATAATAATAATAATAATAATAATAATATCATGGGTTGTACCAAGCAAAACCACGATGTAATTACGAAGCATGACGTAGTGGAGGGCTCTAGAAATTTTCGGCGTTCTATAACGCTTACTGATATGGAGCAGTACACGGGCTTCCATAGCATTTCGTCCCCATAGAAATGTGACCCCCACAGCTGGGATCCAAGCCACGAACATAGCATGGACAAACAGGACATGACACGAACGCGAGTCGAACGTAGAAAAGCCTTTGTCTTCGTTCGGTGATCGACGATTGTTTGACGTGGTTACAAGTCACACTTCTGCACAGCCGCAAGAGGAAGTTTCGAAAGAGGGCGCACTCACAGTGTATGTTGAGTGTGTGCGTAGACTTCGTGGTTCCCACGTCGTTGCGTGCCTCGCATGTGATCGTGTCGCCGTTGAAGCTCCGTGTCACCCGGGGCAGCACCAGCTCGGTCGTGTGGTCGCCCGCGATGATTTCGTCGTTCCTGGGGGAGGAGGAGGAGGAGAATAACGTCAACCGATGGCTGCGAAATAGACCGACCGCGCGTTCGTATTGTCACTGCCTCACAAACGGCCTTTTCGGCGCGAAACTTTCTCGTTTTTCAATAACAGACAGCTGACATTGCATATAAGGCAGTAACAGCTTATGGCTAGCTATTCCGTGCCAGCCCACAAGAAGGATAAGAAACGGGTAGTAAATAAACGAGAACGTGGCGCGAAATCTTTGGTTACGATCGTGTTACACGCTCATGATTACGTCACACCGTGGTTTAAGAACGAAAAAAAACAACTAAAAAATACGACGAATGAACATAATATTTGTTGCCAGCATGCAAACGAAGTAACCTCGGTACGCGTTCAAATAAAGTACTAATATATTCGGCAAAGCACGCTATGAAAAAACCAAAAAAAAAAACAGAAAGGCGCATATAAACTGCGCATGACAGAATACGCGTACGTGTACACCCCTCCGCACGTTCGCGCACCCACGTCAGCGCGCTCTCTCTTTCTCTCGAACGCGCCTGCACGTAGAAAGGGGCAATTAAAACCATAGTACCACTGACGTTTCAAGGCTTTGTACACGTCACTTGAAGTTTAAACAGACAAGCACAGCGAAGCATCTTGCATACGGAAGATGCAGCGAGAAGTTTCTCAGACGCGAAAATTTGCAGCTGCCGCGAACAAACGAAAGACGAAGAAAACGCAAAAGGGAGACTGGGGAATCTGCTGTGTGAAGCTTCGTCCTCGGTGGAGCCAGAATTATCGGCCCTTTAACAAAAGCACTCCCCTCTTTCCCGACCACGGCCTGTTGCAAGTCAGCATCGCCGAAGTGCTTTTTTTTTTTTTCGGAGAGCAGCGGCGAATGAAGACGAAGAGGCGGGAGAGGCGACTCCCCGGGGGGAAAACGTGTCACGAATGCGAAGGAACGACCGGGGTCGCCCAAGGGCGCGAAACTCGAACAGACAGCGACACGGCGGTGGAGCACTTGCGCCAGATCGCGTTCTCGGGAGCCGCTAATTCAGGCTACGTTCAACACTGCCACATGGCCTCCTTGCTTGGGCACACGAAGAAAAAAAAAAAACGCCAGGAACAACATAGTCTTCGCGATCTTCAGTGACGGGCAGGCTCAGGCGCAAAAAAGGAACAAAACCGCTGATCACGAAATGGCATCTTGACGCGGCATTGCCGCCACTTGCTCGACGCAAACGTCATCGTCGCCTCCTCTCCCCACGAGGCAGCGGTGAGTAGATGGGTGGTCGGGCAAGCGGCGTGGTTTCTCCCGCCCTCTCTCTGCCACCTGGAGAACCGAACTTCGAGAGTTTGCCTATCGCATTGCGCGAACATATACTAGGACCCGGAGGAAAGAGCAAAACGCTTTCAAAACTCGGGCTCTCTCCAATCGCCAAATGCATCGCCCGTAAACACGGATTTCGGATGCTGCACAGCGAGCCGCCTTCGGCAGGCGGCGCCATCGTCTCGCCGAGTAATCGCTGCCGATTCGTGCGTACGAAGGCGTGTGCGCGCTGAAAAGCGGTCGCGGGACGGCGAGAAAAAAAAGCGCGTAAACGTGAGGCGCGCTCGGCGCCACGCTGCATGCGCCCGTTGTCTGCCGCATCTCTTGTCGGTTTCCCTCCCTCTGTCCCGGCTTTGATTCTTTCGTTTTCGATTTGTCTCCCGAAACAGGCGTTTCTAACGCGCTCTGCGTGGCGGGGCGTATGTGTACAAGCCTGAACGCGGATCAATTTGTTAATAGGAAAAAAAAAATTCGGAAGAAGGGGGGGTGGCTTTCACTTCCTCTTTTCAAACTCGCTCCGGATCGGAGGCGAAGGAAGAAGAAGGTGCGTCGATGGCGGTACTCGAATAAGCGGCTTCGATCCGCTGAACAGCAACACTTACAGAGCCGAGAGTTATGGGTGGGCAATCAGCATTACAAAACGCACTACTTTCTGCAGCCTCCCCCTCCGCCCCGAATATCCAGCGCCCAAATCTATGAGGCCCTTGGTGCATAGTGTATAAACCTTCCCATTGCTCCGGCAGCAGTGGGGTCGTTGTTACTTGCCTCCTACCTTCTATTCGCCCCACCGTTGTGCTCTTCACAAAGTCTCGCTCGCCCCACTCCCGGCCACCACTCGAGATGGAGAATGCCGAGTGTGTCCGCTTCGGTCGGTGCGGCGGTCGATTCGCGCACGGTGGCGGCAATATCGCGCCTCCAGATCCCGGCTGCCAACGGGGTTTCCGAACCCCGGCAGCAGCTACGAACCCTCCCTTTCACTCGATGGCGCTTGATGAATGCGACTTCGCCAGCGCAGCGCGCGCCCTTTTTCGAGCCAGGGCAGCTGGCTCATTCGTCCGCCGCCGATACCCCCGAGGTGCGATAATGAAAAGAGGCTCGGACGGCGAAAAACGAGGGAAACGGAATGAGACGCGATTTGTTGTTGCCGCCTTCCGATATATACGCGAGAGCTGGATTCCGTTTTGCCCCGACTCTCTGCGGCCGTGTACGAACCGGGCAGTATATATATATATATATATATATATATATATATATATATATATATATATATATATATATATATATATATATATATATGTATATATATATATATATATATATATATATATATATATATATATATATATATATATATATATGTATATTGCTTTCCTCTTTTACGGGTGGGTGGAGAGCATTCTCACTTCGTAGTCCGATGACGGCATGACGCTCGGCGGGGTGGAAAGCAGTAGGGGGGGGGGGGAGGGAATGAGGTGCAAAAGTAGACGGCTGAAGGGGTTCCGACATAGGAGGAAGCAGTCAAGTGCACACGTGATCTTTGCACGCCAGAGGTGCCACCGCAAGGATGATTACTCGTCGCCTGTTTTGTGTAGACGATAACATAGAGCGGGAGATGAGTAATTACTGCCGACAAAACCGCATGCAGTCAAGGAAGCTGCACGGGTTTTGGGGTACATATATGAAGCTACAGCTACAGTATATTATCCCCCTCATAATTCTGTAAGAGCGGAATTCGCCATTTAACAGGTGACGTTTAATCATGCGATTCCAAGTGAAGTAGTAAGTGCCCGTTAGGGGTAATCAACATGAAATTAACGCAAGCCAAAATCCAGCTCGGCCTACTAAAATAGATTGTTTGTGCAGCCGCCACCATTTGGAAGATTGGCGTCGTTTATTGGCTCTATGAACTCACGGCTGCCGAAGTAAAGCCAGCGAACAACAACAACAACAACAACAACAACAACAACAACAACAACGACGACGACGACGACAACGACGACGACGACGTAGGTAGACCATTAAATCAAGGTTTATTATGAGGTGTGTCTGAGAATGACGAAAGCGAGGTGTGCCTGAGAATGACGAAAGCACCCAAAGCGCTCTCCACTACACCAGAACGAACTTGCTGCGATACACCTGCACATCTCATCAGTCTACTCACAGCAGCCACGGTTAATATGCGTTACCAAGTTCCTCCATTTTTTTTTCACATTTTTCTGGCGCGAACAGGACACGGGGCGAGGTGAAATGCCGTCGCGGGATCATTACATCAACGCCGGGCAAAGAGTCATGCACTGCGCGCGCTACCGACGCACCGTTACGCCACGAGCTTGAACGGTGCGTGCACGACGAAAGTTCGCACATTTCCTGCTGTTTTTGTTGTTTCGCCATATCATAGCGTTGACTCTGCCTTCTCCCCTCACGGGAAACACACAGCGGCGTAGCGATGACTCGACATATATGGAGAGTGTCTTCGTACTCTCGGTAGAACACGCAACCAGACAGCGACCAACGCTCCTGCCTGCGCAAAGCTATTTGCATCTCGCATTCGGGACACGGCGACAAATGCCTACCCGGAGCCAGCCCGATCCACTCGCCAACCTCAACGGCACAACCTGCGTTGCGTACGCAAAAGCAGTTGACCCCCCCCCCCCCTTCCCTTCTCTCCATCAACCCGCGTTCTCCCCTTGACTTTCCCCCCCCTCCTCTTCAGTTCTCTTCTAGAGGATCCGCTCTTTTTCAGAAGGCCTGCTGCTCCCGCATTCGCAACGTAGCGCGGCCGAGGATAAGGGCAAGGAGGCACCTTTCGCTTCAGCAACGAGACGAAGCGACACTTTTGAATATTTCAAAGCACGTCTCCGTCATTAAGATAGCCTCTCTTGCTGCTCGGCGGGGCGCAGCAGCCCCGCTGCTGCGCTTTAGAATCGTTTCTGTGGAGCACGCGCGGGAAGAAAAAACAAAGAGAGCGCAATACCCCTACACAAACTATTAACGCCACTCGGGGGAAAAAAAAAGTCAACGCACCGCTCTACTCAGTCTTACGGTGCGATTATGCGACCCCGTGAAGCGAGGGGCTGTGCGTGCGCGTTCGTGGGCGCCGGCAGATATCTTCCTTTGCGAAATCCACTGCGAACGGCGTGGAGCTCCGAGTCGTTTGCCGCAGATAGCGCGCGGATGAGAAGGCAAGAAAGGAAGAGTATAGAAGGGAGGGCAAGCTGTGACGAGAACCGCTCGCGGCAAACCCTTTCTTTCGTAAAGCGGCGAGCGGTTGCGTTTGCCTTGCGCCCTCTGTACGCGCACGTGCGAACAATAACGGTCGAAACTCTCGCAGTGGTCAATAAATTGACCATGCGCGCGTGCGTGTCTATCACTCAGAAAGCGAAGATTTTGCGCTTCACGCGTTGACGAACAAGACGGTGCAAACTTGAAACGTGGGCGGCAGCGCTGGGTAAGCTGGTCGATTTCCTCGTCTGAATGCGAGCGCGTTCGCTTATTTCCAGTTTAGTAACGTTTATTGCGCGCGATAAAAAAAAAAAAAGAGGGCAGGGGGCTATCAAAGAAAGTGGGACACTACGCCACGGCGCGAGTGGAATAAACTGCAGCTATCGGTAAGAAGAAAAAAAAAGAAAAGGGGTGAATGGACAACTCTGTTAGCGAGAAAAAATATACAAAAAAGCTAAAAAAAGTATCGACCATACCTAACTATTCATGCAAGTTTGTCGATCGGCCTCTCAAACAAAAAAAAGGACGAGAAGTCAGTCGATACGCTCTCTGGTAAAAAGGAGCGTAACAAATCGCTCCATATTCGACACCGCCAAAGCAGAGTAAGAAGGGTGTCTTACCTGTACCACTTGTAAACGATGTCGGACGGGTTGGCCGTTGCCTGGCAGTGAAAGCGGACGTCATCGAACTCCGATATCTTGTCCGACTCCACCGTCAGGGTTATCTCGGGTGGATCTGTGCCAAGAACGGAGGCAATACACAATTAAGCAACCCTGTAAGACTGTTGCGATTTGGCGTGGAAGCGCTAAAAGTGCCAGAGACTGAAAATGCATGGCTGATCTCGCGCTTAGATATGAACTGACAGCAAACGTCAAAGCAGAGCGAGGGTGGACTTGTGGTCTTGGTCGCTTTAGCGCAGAAACTTTCGATGAGTCGGGGTTACACAACGGCAAATGATGTGTGCCACACCAAAAGCAGGTCGTTCTTCACGAAGAAGCCTCAACCCATTTTAGATAGGAGATATAGCAATCTTCAGCAACCCTCCTCCCGCTAACCCACGCCTATGGGCCAGGTCATTTCTGAACTTGTTTCAGGTGGCGGCGAGAGCTAACTGATTGATTGATTGATTGATTGATTGATATGTGGGGTTTAACGTCCCAAAATCGCCATATGATTATGAGAGACGCCGTAGTGGAAGGGCTCCGGAAATTTCGACCATTTCGGGTTCTTTAACGTGCACCCAAATCCGAGCACACGGGCCTGCACAAGAGTTAACTTTACTAGCCTGTCACTGTAAATTAGCGCAGCGGTAAGGCCGGATTTATACCGCGAGCTTAGAACCGTCCCGTGACAGTCGATTTTAAGCATACGATGCTAACGAGACGTACGTCTTTATTAGCAGCGCTTACTGCTCATTTTCTTAATGACATAACTACGACAAAAAAACATTCCGAATCGCAGACGAAAGAAAAGAAAGAACGGTCGCAATAACGACCATACCTAGAATAAGTTTAGCGGACTGAGAGACGATAAGTCTAGGATAAGGTCAAAGAAAGGTAGTATAACTAACTACATCAGATAAATCAGTGGGTACAATGTAGAAAATCGAACGTAAATCAATATCACGCATAGTAGAGCGCATTCAAATTACAATAAACGGAGCTCATTATAACACCGGCACGAGTAATTAGGCTAAACACGCGCATATCAACCACGCGATTTAGAACGAAGCGAATCACGAAGTTGGTATAATGCACTTCGACTCCAGAAGCCTGAAGTTTTACAGCGGAAAACTGTTGCGAGATCACAGTGTCGTTTTCGGGCGCCGACGTTGCCCGTCACAACTATTGAGCAAATAATGAAAAAAAAAAAACCGAAATGAATATGCCGGAGAGAATGGGATTCGAACCCGCGCCCGCTGCGCGGCCATCCACTGTTTACACCATAGAGCCACAGAAATGCGTGGAAAGCCTTTGCAAACTGAATATATGCTGGCTTCATGCCATGGAAGGTATCGCGTTATCTGTAACAGAGCGCTTTATTAGATCAAACTAACAATCATGCGTTGTCGCACTATGCGAGTTGCGTAGAACGAGTGGATAGTTGAATGCTTCCAGCCCCATTACAAAAACACGGCCATAATTGTTCATCACAATCAGCTCGACAAAGAGCACACGGTACCTCACCGACGTGTAGATGGCACCTCGCTTCTACGCAGCATAAAGTACGATGACGTAGTGTGTGCTCGCCTACTTCACAAAAAGGTATTGTGGCATATGGCGTGCAGGCGAAGGTGCAAAAAAAAAAAAAGGATCCAGAAATGACGTTCTTCTAGCTTTCGCTGTGACTGTGCCGCTCGTGCAAGCCTGGCGTTTTTTAGTAAGAACCCCGTGGCTACACAGAACGCGGTGTGAAAATTCACGACAAAGAATGCCACGACGGCGAACGCGAACTGCAATGAAGGCTTTTTCCTGGGCCTGTTCAAAAAGCATCGCCAAACTAATAAAAGTTGCATCTAGCTATAGGCATGTTCGATGGGTTGCATCAAGTCGGAAGTTGAGAGGTGTACATCACTCTGTATAGGGAGCCTCTCTTTTATTTATTTCTTTTTTATGTAACATTAAGGAACTTTTGGAGATATCGCAAAGATTGAGAAAGCTCGCTCAGGCGAAAACCGCGTGCCTTCTACCTTCCCATCGCAGAGTACACGAAGTATATACAGGTTTTCGCGACTATAGACTTTTTCACTCAAAGCTCCCAGGGCAAGACTCAAGGCTCAAGGCTGTTAGCGCGCGTAACGCCCCCCCCCCCCCCCCACCCCCCAGAAATGCACTGCCGAGGCTGAGACGTTGGCTTTCGCACTCTCTTGCAACAGCCCAGAAAGGAGGAAATCCTCCCCTCCGCAAAAAAGGTCCGTAGCAAGAAGGGTAACACACACATCGTGTGCCAGGCAAGTAGCCCGCATCGGTCAACAGGTAAATGGGATGGGAGGAAGCGCTCCGAGGGCCGTAGTAGCAAAACTTGCGCTTATTTCGACAGTATCGCTTATTCAAAAAAAGAAAAATAAGAAACAACGAAGGAAAGAAAGAAAGCCTCTAACCTGGCGGGCGGGGTGAAAAAAGAAAGTTTAGGTTCCGAGTAAATTGGAATTCCCATCGTGCCTTGCGCGTTTCGTTCCTATTTCGCGCCAACTCCGATAGCCAACGCTGATAAGCTCGCTTTCATATAGAAGTGGCCTGCCCGCACAGCTGATTTTCTTCGAGGAGAAAAGGGGAGAGAAATGAAAGAAGGAACGCCGGCGCGAAGAAACGAACACCGTACACTTCTTTCCTGGCTACTGTAATGCGAACGGGGCTTCAGCAGCATTACTCGTGTCTGCGGCAACCGTCGACTGCGCTTGCCTCTCGCGGAGGCATCGAATGGTGGCACACAGTGTTACAAAGATCGCGATGAAAAGCGAGAAATTGCAAGCAAAGAAATAAAAAAAATGATATCAAACAGGTATTTTGAAAGACTCGGAAAGGTAATCGAATCAAAGCCAATGCGTTTGGTTGAATCCAACTGCGCTCTTCCACGCTGTACTCTTCTCTCTGGCTTTCTCTCGTTTTTTTTTTTTTTTCAAGCACTATTTCCCCTGGTCCGCACAACTCGTTCAATAACCGCTTAGCTTCGGCATGAGTTTCTTTTTTCAACTTTCATAAAAAAGTGGGGAGGTATTCCTTCGCAACTCCGGGCCCTCCCCCGAGACGAATCCCACTTTATATTTATGCGACCGAAGGCATATCCTCAAAATTCGATTAAGCGAATTCTACTCAAAAGGCCCTCAGCGAAATAAGCTGTTCAAAAAATTGTGTCTTTTGTAGTGTGGGCCATTCAAGGTATGCATTTATCAATCGTTTCAGCGAATAAAAAAAAAGGTTAACATAAAGAGGTTGAGTGTACCAAATTAGATATTCCCCCAACGATCAAACGGTATGACCCCTTCGTTATTACTACGTTTTTCCCGTCACGTACATGCTGCGTCGAAATACGACTACTCCATTATCTCCATAAAAAAAGCAAAAAAATGGTTATACGCTTCCAGAACAGGTCAGTAGTCATCTAGATGGATTTGTAGGATAGCTGAATTATGTTAGTCATGTTCAAGGAAAAAAAGAAACAATGTAATAAAAATAAGTAAAAAGTTAGAATGCCAATTCAGTTTTGGTTTGAGTCACGCACCCGGCTAGGTAAATCGCAATTGATGCACAAATTATTTTGGTGAAATAAATTTTGATGAACGAGGCAAATTAGCCAACTGCCCACTTATATCACATAGCAAATCACTACAAATAAATAATTAAAAGAAAAGGAAAAGTTGACCTAATTTTCATTCTCATTATGATCATTGAAGGTACCGTGACTAGAGAACATGAAAATGTCGTATTCTCGAATGCATGGTTGCAGAGTGCTGGGAAAAGGGAATAGCTGCTTGAACAACATATTGCCCCCCCCCCCCCCGCCTCTGCTTTTTTCTTCTAGTCATTTGTTATCTTAAGGCTGACGTAACTGTTTTTTACCTAAAATGAGATTTTCACTTGTGACGTATATCGAGTAGGATCCAGTGTCGTCCATGCTAAAAACACGCACGACTTCTAATGCAGTTTCGCAAACTGTTGTTACTTCAGCGAATATTTGACTTTGCCGAATTGCTGTCACTTCGGCTGCTGCCACCTTGTGGCATGCGTGCTGAAAATAACACTTCTAATACAATTTTTCTTGTCGTTTTACCGAATTCTGGTGCTTTCGTCAAAAAGTCCTCTTTTCCTACCACAGGATTAACTAAACGGCCCCAACAACCCTTCAACCTTCACTAGAAAAAGAATAGAAAGATCAGCAGGTATTGGAAGAAAGGAAGGCATGGCTCTTGGAAGGGTATGCGACTCACACTTCACTTCCATGCGAATGGTGGCCAGCATGGGCTGCTTGAGCGCCTTGTTCTCGGAGCGGCAGGTGAACGTCTTGCCGTCGTGTTCGCGGCTGGGACTGAAAGTCCAGGTGAGCGCAGCGTTGGCGCGTTTGCCGTCTGACAGGGGCTCCGTCTTGTACTCGACGCCGTTGGTCACCACGTTGCCGCTGCCATCCAGCCACGTCAACTGCGTCGACGAGACGGCAAGAGCCGGTTAGAACCATGACACTGTGGCGTCGCTCTTGCGGAAGCAGTGAACTAGCGGTTGATCGAAATTGCACTCAATAAAACATAAAATCCCCCCCCCCCGCCCCACACCCCCTAAAAAAAAAAAAGAACTTTCCACTGCAAAGCGGCAATCCCTACCCCTCCCATTGCGCACACTCAAAGACACAAAAAAGACTTCAAATTCAGTGACCTCACAAAGACTCTAAAGTTTCGCAGCCTGACTCAAACCTAGAAATTTTCTAAACCTTTTATGGAGCAAGGTGACAACCTCTCTTACCTCGCAAACATAGATACATAGAAAGGCGAAAAAGACAACCCTGAATTGAGTGTCGTCACAAAGGGTTCTAAAACGCTTTATTACTCATATTAACGCGATTACTTTCCCGACATCCAGCCTGCCTAAGGCCAGTTTGGAAACGAGTTCCAAGCACTGGCGTGGTATAATACTGGGCTGGCACGCAGCGGATCCGAATTCGAATCCCATTGTGTCATTGCCGTTTTTTATTTACTAAGTTTGTTTTTTTTATTCGATACTGGTTACGGACACCAGCGGCGGCGGCGGACAACTACGTCACCGCGAGTGACCCGCGTTCTGATCTGATCTCAACAGCTTTCACTGTAAAACACGACCTAATTCACATTACCTACAAGACAATAAGAGTTTCATTCTGTGCGAACTAAGTTCTTTTCAGAGGGGGGAAAAAAGAAGAGAAATGAAAGAGTTTCGACATTGCTTGGTCGAGAAATGTCTCTTCAGAGCACTCCGACTCGAATCGCCTGGGCGTAGTTCAGGAAGCGATCGCTGTTGCCGCTTCTCGATTTCCCCTACCGCACTTCAAAGTTCACCGAAACACAACAACGGATTTTAAGAAGGCTCAAAAGGAAGTTCCCGACAAAAAAAAAAAAAGAAAGGGGGTGGGAGTGGGGGGCTGAAAGAGAGGTAACCGAAGCGAGATGTCGACGCAGTTACAGGCGCCGAGACAATGCGGTTAAAAGTTCACGACACCGCGGAAAAGTTAATCTCTCGCCTCGGGCCTAGAAGCCGGGTCCCGAGGATTCCATCCTTCTCTCCACCGTCTTTGCCTCCTTCCTTCTATGGTGGGAAAAAAGTTTCACGCTACGTATCGGAGCCGACAACCACAAGGAACGCTTGGCTGTTTCCGAGACTTCGGGGGTGAAAAGCGAAGGCGGAAGTACGCAGGTTTTAAAAAGGAGGCGCACGAGCTCGCGTTCACACTCCAACACGCTTCGACTAAAGGTCTCGCCCCACCGCGAATACGAGGCGACTTATAGGCATCGTTGCATTTCGAGCCCCCCCTCCCCACACCAACTCTTTTCTTTCATCTGATTCCGCATATATACCGGCTCAGGAGGGAGGACGACAGGCGCCCGAGACAAGCGAATCCATTGCTGCGGAACACGCCCGGGTATACGCTACGATTGAACACCGAAGAGGCGCCTCTTATTCCTCATTTCTTCCTTTCTCTCTTACCCTCTTTCTTTTTTTCATCCACGATTGTTCTTTCTCGATTGTTTTTTGGAGGATCCGCACGCCGACGATCGATTCGCCCGAAGCGGAAAAGAGGCATCGCTTTCCGAGCATTACCGTGATTGCTCGCGCATATTTCGCATTCCCCTGTTCCGACTGCCAGCGCCGTTTCTCTCTCTTCCATCCTCCTCTCTTTCCCTTCCTCGCTTTCCCCGCTTTTTGCTTTCCCCACGTAGATCCGTCTGTCTGATTTCCTCTCCCCTCTTCCCGATTTCCCCCACCCGTTCGTCGCCCCCGAACAGAGTTGGGGCGACGCGAGCGCTGAAGTGTCTACGTGCTCGCTCCGATGAAGCGGGCTTCGTCGGCGGCAGGCACGACCGCCGCCACGCGTTTCGAACCCAGCGGAAATCGAACGCACGCAAGCACGCACGTGGGATCAGTGTGTCGCCTCCGGGCACGCAGAGAGGGCGGCGCGGTATAGTGTAACAATAATAATAAAAAAAGATCTCGCTAAACATTTAAAGGCTAGAGACGCGCGAACTAATTTGTACGTGTGAGCGAATCACACGCGCTTGTCCGTTTTTTTCCCGATCTCTTCGAGAACAAAATTAAAAGAGAGAGAGAGAGAGAGAGAGAGAGAGAGAGAGAGAGAGAGAGAGAGAGAAGAGGAGAGAGAGAGAGAGAGAGAGAGCTGGCAGAGGAAGAGATGGAAACGAAAAAAAAAAGGAATAAGTTTATAGCGATACAATGACCCGGCAACAAAATGCTGGCATATGACGAACATACACACCCCTCCCTTCACATACCAGAAGAAGGGAGGGCTGTACGGATAGGATGCCAGACACTACACACCCTTTTGCGATCACTCGGGTTCTTGTCTCTCTTCATTTTTTTTTGCCCTTCTTGATTCTGATATCGCGATGGCTCGTTTGTTTACCAGTTACATTTTTTTTTTCTTTCTCAGACCTCACCGTAATCGTGCGTGCGTGCTGTGTTCTGTGTCTTTGACACGCTGCAGGTGCCGGGCCCGCCAACGTGAAAGAAGTTCCTGGGTGGGGACGCGATTGATTAGATGACAAATGTGGTTGCCATCGAAACACGTCGGCTTGGCCGCAAATCTCTTCCCGATGTATCGTACATGTCGGAATCAGAAATGAACACTAATAACAACGTGGCGGAAAGAAAGAGGGAGGAAGGCTCTTACTGATCAGCGCACTTCAGTGGCGTGCAGCACGAGTGTGCAGACAGGCACCGCATATGGCGTGAAAATGCAACCCGGACATGCTACGAAGCAAAAATCCAGCCTTTCGTCTGTACATTGACGCACAGTGGGAAAAACAATGCCACATTTTCTTTCGTACCACGCCATTCTTTATAGTCAGTGCCGAGCTTTCACCGGCGCAGCCAGCTTTAAAGCTAGCATATACAGTGAACGGGCTTGCGTTAGCGAGTTATAGGCCTGTAATTCTTGCTGCCGATGTTTCTTTTCTTGCTCGTCAATCGTCCCTTTATAGATGCCATGCTGAGAAAACTACAGGAGCGGGGGTGAATTTCTCGTGCTTTGCGCGAAACACGGTACTATTGTACCGTCTGACGTGCTCTGTTTGAACGAAGGCTGTTGCCCTATAGATTAGGTTTACAGATGAGCGTTTATTTAGGATATACTTTCTCTTTGGAACTATATTCAAATTAACGGAAAAAGAGTAATTGTTCAAGGGTTCCTTTGTTACAGACAATTTCGTGAATCCAACAGACAGTTAGGCCAAAGAAAGCAGACTCGACGTTACGTGTTGTAACTAGAATAATAATTATGACAAATGCTGACATTATTTAAAGTGGGCGAAAATCATCCTCTGGCGGTGTCTGTCCGCATCACGCCGTGGCACCAACAGGGCGACTCAGGTGACGTCGGCAGGATACAATGTGTGCATTGTCCAATGCACCAGGGTTATCAGATAGGGTGCATTTGACTATTACGCGATGCCATTCAGTCCCATGCTAGTTAATTTATTATTACTTTTTTGCTTGTTATCTTCCTTGGCTTTTTCGCAGTCTCATACATTAAGGACGCGCAAGGGAAAAAGCGATCATTTATATTGCCATAGTCACGCCAGAAATCGAACAGAACCAGCGCCAATACATCTAGGAGTTCATAGGTACACGTAACCTAGCTAAGACAGCGCTAGTGCGTTCGTATATTTGAACAACACATATGAGACTCCTTGGCCCTACCTTTTCTCTACGTTTGGTGGCTTTATTTCATCGTCTCCCTACACGGCTTTGTTTTCAACGCTCAGCACTGCCACACTACGGCAAAGCTCGCCAGAAGAAAAGGGCTATCGTGCATGGAAGACCCAGGAATAACACGGGGGTCAGGCATGCCACGTCGCTATGAAAACACGTGTGTATCTTACCTCCGCGGCTGGCTTTCCGGCGTGAGACTCGCAAGTCAGCTCGACGGTCATGCCAGCTGTCGTCTTCAGAAACTCGCCTTGAACGATCCTCGGGGGTTCCGGGGGTACTGTAACGGGGGAGGGGGGGGGGGGGAAGAACAAGAGCACGAATTGAAAAAAAAAAGAATTGCATGACTCTGGTTATTCAAATTATCTTGTCGTCATCCAATTAGGTTTTGTTTTTGATACGCATCCAACCGCACAACCTAATTAACGCAGATTATTATTGCGATAGCAATTATATTGACACTCTCAGCTGGACTTTGCCGTCGGCGTCGCCATCACTCACCGTATACTTATACGTATCTATGGATATAAAAACGCAAGAAAATATTAATCCAGAAGAAGACTCCAGCACGCGGAATCGGACGTGGGACCTCTGAATTGTGAGTTCGAGGCGTAAACTACTGCGCCACGAAAAACCCCGCCTTAAAGATTCAAATGGCAAGCTATTGATATCAACCTATTACCACTGGTGAGGGGCATCTCGAGGGGAAACTATCGTGTTTTCAACATTACCAGCAAGATGGCGTAATGAGTTTGCGTCGCCACATTGTCCCGGCGCGGCGGAGCGCTCTCTCATCTCCCACGCGTACTTAGCCCGCTAGAGATGGGCAGGGTGGATCTCACAGTTGCGCTTATCACCCAGTGAGGACAAACGTACGTCTTGGCTAGCCTTGGGCTTTCGCCGCAACGATTCTGTTATAATTACCGACAAAGGTCACTGTGATAATTGCAGTCTTCATTCGCGAAAAGGGCGCGCTTTTCAAACAGCCAAGTAACAACTGAGACGCTTATTCGCGTTCATCTGTACCTGTGAGTACGTTTTCTGCGTCATTTGTGCGTGTGAAATGCGGGGCACGTTTCTATCTGCTCGCCATTCTGCGCGTGACCTTCCAATTCGCTGCTATCGCATTCATTGCTTCGCCTTTGCGGCAAAGCTGTGACATTTTCAATGTGTGCCCCCTTATCCACGTCCCAGATATGAAGAAGCACGAAAAACACTAATAGCTTTCAACAAACCGTACACGGCATAGATATTCCGCCTTGATTCAAACACAGGTAACACTGAATCACCGTGAAACATTTGCGATATGACAGAAGTCAAAATGCAGTAACTACTAAACAAGTTTCATGTTTGCGTAAAATTGTTCCTATCTCATTTATATTAAGGCATTATGCTCTATTAGATTGTATTCAGATAGTTAGGCTGTAAATACTGAGGTCTGCTGCGAAGGGCAAACATCTTCGCAAAAGACATTTTGCATAAAAATATTTACGCAAGTGTTTATGATAAGCCGAGGCGGGAAGCTTGAGTATGAAGTGGCATGTTATCACGGCAACTGTGGACACAGCTTTGAAGGAGTGAGTGAATGAGTGTGAACCTCTCAGCCAAAAAGTTAACCCTCGTATGTGAGTATCCCACTGTATTCTTGTTATCCAAACTACACCCATTTTCTTAATAATTAAAAGCTGCAGCTGCACAAAGTACTAATAACGGAGGTACCACACTTTGTCAATAACAACAGAAAACATTTTGCTGTTGTATGCATGGAATGATTTAAAAAAACAGCCTGTTTCTGAGGCTTATCGAAATTACTAAGGAGTATTATTTTTAAAAAATCCGCAACTTAACTGACAAACTCGTAAATCGACAGCGTACAGAGATCATGAACAACCGATACATCAATTTGTTTCCCGTTTCGAACGTGCCCGAGAAGAGGATTGTGATACAACCTAAGAGGCATTAAGAACTAAGTTCTGCTGGCAGCGTGAATATTGTAACAGGTTAAGCGTGGAGTGTAACGAGAATTGGCCTTGACACAAACAGACAGACAGACAGACAGACAGACAGACAGACAGACAGACAGACAGACGGACGGACGGACGGACGGACGGACGGACGGACGGACAGACAGACAGACAGACAGATAGACGGACGGACAGACAGACAGACAGACGGACACACGGACAGACAGACGGACACACGGACAGACAGACGGACCGACGGACAGAGGGACGGACAAAGGGACAGACAGACGGACAAACAGCAGGGGACAGACAGACGGACGGACGGACACACGGACAGACAGACGGACGGACACACGGACACGGACGGACGGACACACAGACAGACAGATACATAGATAGATAGATAGACAGAGACAGATAGAGATAGATAGATAGATAGATAGATAGATAGATAGATAGATAGATAGATAAATAGATAGATAGATAGATAGGTAGGTAGGTAGGTGGGTAGGTAGGTAGGTAGGTAGGTAGGTAGGTAGGTAGGTAGGTAGGTAGGTAGGTAGGTAGAAGTCGGGGACGACAGTGAGCTTCATCAAGCAACTTATACATCAGCTACTCTACATATGTGATGAGGGGGAAATAGACAAGATATACAAGGCAAACAAAGAGTAGAAAAACGAACAAATATACAGTTAGTGTGAAAAAAAAATACAGTGAGGGGCTTTTATAACTGTGATGATTGCCACACGCATCTTTATAGTCGAGAATATGACCGGCTTTGTCTGTAACAAGCTGCTGCAAAACCGAAGGAAGCACTTTGGTAGTGTATCCACCTGAGCATTGTAACATAATCATACTTCTATAGAAGCGTATAAAGCAAGGCATGATTCAAGCAGTAACAGGACGCCCATCGATCATCTCTCGAGGCGTAGCACTAATATATGCATAAAACAGACATACTGGCTAAACCAGCTACCCTGAATAACGGCCCTCCCTGTAAAGGCAAAAGAAGAACCGAGCCCGCACGAAGCAGCTGCGGCCGTTCTCATCCGACAGCGAAATGAATGATCGGTTTCAGAGAAGACCCCTGACGGCACAAACGAAACAAGAAATAGTAATGAATGTGAGATACTTATGCTGACATACAAGTATGTGCGAAGAGCACAAAAAAGGCGCGTGCGTCCAAGCTGTAACGAATGAGGAGTTCGTTCTTTGTTAAAGCTCCAAAGATATTATCTCAAACGAACACTCGGCCTTTTCCACGCTTACGACGATTTCCCTTACTTATAACCTAATATGTGTTCCAAAAGCAGTGCATGAATCTCGAAATTTGAGGCGTCAGTCTCGATCAACTGTGCGTTTGTTTCTTTTAATTTTTGTTATCTCTGCGCACTCACAGACAATTTGATACTGCATCTGCTCACACACGATCACTGCTTGATAACGCAGGGCTAATGGTTACTGGACGGTAATTAATGTTTATTGATAAGGCGCAATCATAACACCACGATTGTTTTCCTATCACGTCATTTCATCGATGATTTCGAATCTACTTAAAAACAACCCGAGCTCATTCTGTTTTTTTTTTCTCTCGCAATATGCGCGACTGCTCATTCTCTTCTGCAATGTACAGTTGCGAACTGCATGATATCTTAATTACCATCGCTGCCTGAGTATTCAATCAATCTACGAGTGTTCTTTCACGCTAACATTCCGACCGAATCAATGGAGTTGGCGCTGTTCTCATCTACACGACCTCTTTCTTAGAAGAAGAAGAAAAAGACTGAACCTTGGCAACTATATCCTATCTTTGCGGGCACATGCGGTCAACATAGAAGTACCAAAGTTCATCTGAGACAAGAGAAGGAGTCGCAAAGACGCGGATGTATTTGTTCTGCCACGTTTGTGGCCTATCTTCCAGCTCATTCAGTATACGTAGCGACTTCTCCCTGTCAACAGAAAAACAAACAAACAAAAACCAAACAGCAACAACAACGACAAAAACCAGTCGATGGCAACAGTGCCGCGTCCACGGCAGGCTATATTCCACCTCGCCGAGACAACGAAGGAAAACGCGGAAGCGATGGTTCCAGAGGGGCCTATTAAGAACAATGCGCGCCTCCTTAAATCCCCCCTCCCCCGCGAAACGTCCTTCGCATCCGGGAGGAGGACACGGCCTCGCCCCTTCTTTTCGTCACTTCGGCGGGGAGCATTAAAAGTTTAGCCCCACAGACTTCGGCGCGCTCGGCACTGCTCCTCTGCTCACGGTTAGCGGAGGCCCCTTTCCCAAGAGTTTCCCGGCGGCTTCTTCGCATTCGTGTTCACGGCTTGGTAAAGCCTTGTGTCGAGCCGGTGTTGAAAGACTCGCCGGATTTTCGTGAAAGACAGCGACAGCGCCACGGGGAACCGTGACGTATACTGTACATATAAGGACGCAGCTGCGATTACTACCCTGACTACCCTAAGAAAGAATATATATATATATATATATATATATATATATATATATATATATATATATATATATATATATATATATATATATATATATATATATATATAGGTACTGTAGGTATATCCTGGAACGACAGAATAGGACGGCGTGGCTAAAGCAGACTTCGGCGTGGTAGGCACGCGTCATAAGTTGCCGCTAATCCAGGTGCCGTCTCGCGACGACCACAAATGAGTCTGCAAAATTTTTCCGCTGACTCATCCTTCTTCCTCTTTTTTTCTACGCGTCCGGGTGTGTGAAAGGCTTTTCGCGACGCGGCATTTCACCGGCACGGCTCGAGTTGACTATTAGCTCCACAAGCCTTACGCGCCTCGTTTGCGAGGCACCTAAAAAATAATTACGACCGAGATTCAACTTTCCTCATATCTCTTCTCTTGTTTTTTTTCTGGCGCCAACACTAAGAACTTAATTACTGTTATCACGTTGCCGCTTGTAAGACAGAAGAAGAGACAAAAATTTTTACGAGCACAGATTCATCATATTTTTTTTTCGAGAGGGTCGACACGCTCCGCAGTGTACATTTTATTGCGCGGGATTGAAAAAACAGACGGCGGCCACGTTATATTGCATAGTTTCAAAAAATAAATATATACAAAAGTTGGGCTCTCTTTGTAAAGGACCCCATTTCTTGGTACTCGTTATCTTGCGCAACGAGAAGGGCTGAACGAGACTTTCATTCAGACGACAATAATAATAAGGAAAGGAGAATTCGCGAACACTGCCGGAGTCTATAGCAAGGCCTTACGCAATCACGCATACGCTAATCAGGGTCCTTCGAAGTTTTCTTTCACGCCGTCGCTGTTCACGTTATTACTTTGAAGAGTTTCGCAAGCGAGGGCTAAGTACCACGGAATAAAGAACAGAAAAAAAAAAACACGGAGCGATTGTAACTAAAGAGGCAATCAGTTTTGTTTCTTGTCGCTCTAATCGCCGGCCCAAAGCGTTTTAAACTGCCCGCACGTAATCTCCATTTCTGTTTATTATACTTTTTTTTTCTCGCGAGGACGATGAAACGCTGTCAAAGGAAGGCGCGACAAATCGAAGAAGGGTTTCTAAGGACGATCGCTTGAAGTCTCTCAGAAATGAATGACACCCGTGGCCGTGGCAAAGTTCTGACAGTGACCTTATTCGTCTATACGCGTTAAGCTGAAAATCCATTTAAATTGCTGGTGTCGTTGTCGTCGAAGTGCCAGAGTGAAACCGGGAACCTCTGAGTAGGTTTTTTTTTCTTCTTTTGAGTCCTAGTTTGCCCGTACCTTTTTTGAGAGAATAATAGAACGCATTTGAAATTGGACTTAAGATTGGACGGCAACGACTGTCCTTGCGTTGAAGATAAACAAGTGGCCTAGACTAGTTCAACCAAGGCTGGGATTTTTCTTGTTCAACGCGTAGCACTTCTGTACAAAAAAAAAAAAAGAAGAATAGCAGCCAGATTTCGGCGTGCCATTGGAGGGGAATCACGCAAAAGTACTTTAGATATCTACTATAGTATATTACGATTCCCCGCAATGGTGATAGCGTCTAAAACCATGTTTATTATTAGCGGGTGCAGTTATTGCACCCGCTAACCATGAGGTCACAAATTTTTACTACTAGCGAACAAACTTTACTCCGAAACATGTGACGTCGCGACGTCATAACAGTAATGCGATTCTGAGAAGCGATAAACAATGACGTCGATTATTTTCATCTTTAATAATGAACATATTACGATGAATTCCCAATTCCATTAGTGTCATCATTAATAAATTTGCTCATTTATAAACTAAGACGACTGTTACACTGTCATGGTAAATAAGGAGAGAATAACTCACCGAATACGGTCAGAGGCGCGCTCCTTGATCGGATGCCCTTCACGCCTTCGACGGCGCCGACTTGGCACTGAAAGGTGGCATCGTCTTCCAGGCTTACGCTACCGATCTGAAGCGAAAAATCGCCTGAAAGAGAACGAGGAACGAGTTGTGAGGCCACTGGGCGTCACTCTATAGGGAGGAGTCGCGAGCAATGAACTGACACCAATTCAAGCAAAACAAACTTAGTCGTTAGGTTTTCAATATTACTCATTTAAGCTACTGCAGCTTTTTAGTCTGGACAATACAGACGCAAATTAAGTAAAACAACTAACGGTGAGCTTGCACTAAATTAAAAGTCGTAAAAAGGTTTCTTTCTTATTGTGCATTTTACCGATATCAAAAAGTAACAAGATAACGCGCGCACAAACACAAACGAAAACACAGGCACTCACTCACAATCAATCAATCAATCAATCAATCAATCAATCAATCAATCACAGCCAATCAGTCGGTCAGTCAGTGAGTCAGCCACGTACCTTCGTCGTCGCTTCCAACCATAGAGTACCTTGGAAAACCCGAAAGGTCGCGGTCACTGCCGAGGCCAAAGCCGTCTCTGGTCCACTGGAGCGTGCCGGCCTTGTCGATGACGCGACACGCGAGCACGATAGTGTCGCCCAAGATGGCCGACCGGTCCGTCGGCTCGATGGCGAACCGCTGCTGGGGCCGCGGACCTAAGAGCGAGACCACTTCGTTAGGCGCTCGATCAGATCGGCTCGCTCTCTTATACTAAATCATTCTACGTAAGCGTGGAATGATCCAGTAAGCGCAGTGCATTACGCGATCTAGTAAGCGTAATGGATTACACCGTAAGTTTGTTTGATTTAAGCGTGACCCATTCGATATGCACTCAAAGAGGGACGGATGTACGACTCACTGGAATTTGTGCGCTGCCCACGCACAAGGTTTAGCAGCGGCGCCAATACTAGAAGCGCATTACTAGATCATTCCACGTATATTTTGAGGTAAAAATGGACGAATAAAAGTCGAAACAACAATACAACATTTACTGAGTGCTGCTGCGGGCAGAACGTCGCGAGTAACGGAATTGACAACTTTTTTTAGAATTATTTCCACAATTACAAGAACACGGTGGGGATAATTTCTAGAGAAGTGAATACTACGAACATGTGCCTAACATTTCATTTAAAAAGTAGCAATTGCAGACCTTCCGAGTGGTATAGTGGAACGTACGTTTGCCTAATCAAGTTGAGGCTGCTGTGTTGGGTCTTCCTTCTTTAAGTGTTTAGTCACCTTGGCTAATGTAGTTCTGCTTTAAATTACTATGATCCTGTCGTATAAACAAATGTGGCAGACTAAGCGAAGTAAAGACAGTGTAATACTAAGTGGAGAAGTCGGCCTGTACAAACACAAGATCGGGACACTGCCACAGGTGCAACAGACGAAAAGTGAAATAGAGCGAGAGAACAAAAATCAATTGACAATTGCACAGAAGCGTAAACAAGACCTGACAACAGTATACCATCGTGCCCACTATTGACATGATATGTCGCATACATACAGGGCGACGCCCTTTCCCCAAAATGGAACAAATGCCGAGTGTGCCAACTGCAGTGTTTAAAGATAGGATCACTGCATGGGGTATGATTACTTCGAATCAGTTTTTCAAGATTACCGTGATACGACCGCGAGTTCTCACTTTATCTTTTGTTATCCGCTCCTATCGCAATGCAGTTAACAACAAATTAATTTTTTCACTCTATGTCGCCTTCCACAATGACGAGGGTAGTTTAGGCCTAAGTTTCGAGCTTTTATTTAACGGTGACCCATTCATTATGCACCAAAAAATGGACGGATGTACGACTCACTCGAACTTGTGCGCTGCCCGCACACAAGGCTTAGCAGCGGCGCCAAAACTAGAAGCACAAGCGCGACGTTCATGGACGGCGTTGTGGGCCGGACGCCGCCCGTCCAGCGACCGAGCCCCGTGCGCGCTCGTCTCCGGAGCTTCGTCGGCGGGTCCCTCCACAGCGTCGTCGTGCCGGGATCCATCGGGACCCGACGTCTAGGCCTAACTTCCAGTCGGCAGGCACGCCTTCAGAAGAACGACGGCACCTATAGAAGAGGCACAGATAGAACGACCACTCATTAGCATTTTGATCGAGAGCAGTAACTTTTTCGAGGGCTACAGAGCGCAAGATAAAACCAAGGTCTGCACTCCGCGAGCCCAACTTCACCCATTATTGAATGTTTTTTACTATATTTCGTTTCGAACAAGAAAAGGCGAAATAAAAATAAAATACTAGTCTCCCCCCCCCCATCCCTTTTATTTTCTCAGACCAATCTGACCAACGTAAATCACACATTTACTTAAATCCTAAACGCGCCAAAAAGCATGCGTATACTCTCGTGTGGCGGCGCCGCCACACACATAAAACGAAAGAGACGTTTTTGATGACTCGGCGGTAGATTGAGAAAGGAGAAAGGGGAACAGGGACACCAAATGAAAAATTCTGATCACTCCAGATTCGCCAGTGCGAAAAAGAAATAAATAAAAAAACACAACCTAACAAACCGAGGGCTAGAGCGTGCTGGTATTGCTACACGAGACTAAATATATAGCGACGCGAAACGCCTCCCGCTTTTGTAAGGGAAAATAAATCAGCGTACAGTTCGGCGGACGTGTACTCTTTGAAGCGGTCTGACGAGGCTGCGAAACGAGGGCCCAGTAAGTAATCCGGCCCCCCGTATCACGTTCTGCTTGATGTTCGACAAGCACGAACGAACGACATCGGCAAGCCCCCCCCCCCCCCCCTTCCCGAAATCTGACGCGGTCATTTCCTTAAGACTGCCCATAACACGAAACGAGCGACGGCTCCCGATGTATATAAAGGCCAGCTCGCCGTCTCACTAGGTCGTTTTGATGCTGCTTCGAAGCGGAGTACGCCGAACACGACTGCGAAGCACGCTCAGCGCAGAGCGTTGCCGGATTCGGGAGTACCAGAGAAACGAATTATTCGGAGTGCTTCCGGCTACACCGGCTTTTTTTTTTTTTTTTGCAGTGAAACAGCGACATGCGTAGTATTAAAGAAAACGCGGTAATTCGAACGCCGAGAAACAACACAGCAATAAAGAACTCCGATACATAATTCGGAACGAAATGAGGTCAAGACAAGCGTTTTTTTCTTTATATATAGACAGACAAGACTTCATCGCATCAGAGCACTAAAGGATGCCTACATTTTTCTGAAGGAGCGCTTTTGATATCGTCGGCAACAAATCACGCGCTATTGTTTACGAAGTAAAATATTATTCGGGATGAGGTCAGCACTATAGTGGTAATGTTTACAGAAACATTATGTTGGCGGCTGAAATAAATCCAGCGCCACTTAATAGGGAGCTTTCGAATGGGGGCCCCAAAAGTTCCTGGCCCCAAAACCTTTTCCGTATGGACGCTTTAAGTCAAGCACGAGCAATGAGTTTTCGAATAGGGTCTGCGGCGCTTTTGACACTCCCACTATTTTATGTCACTCTCGTCTTGGTCGAGAGCCGTCACTTTAGTGGGTGCCGTCACGTCAGCCTGACCCAAAACTTTTGGGGCAGGGCTTGGGAATTCCGCTGAATTCGAGAAATAGCGTCCCCAACCGAAAACCCAAGCGCGGTGTAGGTTTCGCACATGCGCAGTGGCCTTGACACTATTCTAAAGCTCCCTAATGTCTGACGGGGCATCGGTTTAGAAATGAATGCCGCAGCCTTTTTGCGGTTGAAACACGGTTCCCGGAACAAGACGTGGAGAACCACGACAAGCACGCGCGATGAGTGAGAAGGGTATCACAGAATAAATGAATAAATAAATAAATAAATAAATAACTAAATAAATAAATAAATAAGTGAAATAGTGTTGAGCTGGAAACGGTTTGGCTGCGGAACTGAAAACTCGATTCCAACTCACGACCCAGCGGCGATGATCAATGCAAGCATGGCCACGCTGATGATAACAGTTACACGTCAGTGAATAACTATTCTGTCATGTTTACTGAACCAGATTCTTTCGATCACGAATAACACAGAAATTGTACGAAATCGTGGAAATTATAACGATGTACGCAGTATTTACATAAAATACGAATCTACTTGCAAGCTCTTTTTAAAAGCTGGGACCACGTGAAAAGATGGTTTGATTGACGACGCAGAGCTGTCTTTTTTTTTTCTGTTATTCTGTACAAGGTTGCAGGTAATACATCACGAGTACTTCCACCCACACGGAACGTTACTCCTTACCCTTGATTCAGAGAAAGAGACAACTTGATAGTAAAAGATAAATACAATAACAAACAGTCATGCTGCGGCATGTACCTCGAAGGCTGATTGCGCATGGAAAGTGGATGCATCATTCCGCGTTCGAACTCGTAGTTTCCGCGAATTATTCACCGACCCATCTGCATGAGATTACAGCGAGGACAAACGGCCTGAAACGTAGTGTCGAACTGCAGAAAGAAGGAGAACAAAGGCGGCGAAAGAGAGAGAAAAAAGAATAAATCACAAGCAGTCCGAACCATCGTCATCGATTTAGACTTTATCGCAATGATTGTGTGTTGCTTCGCGCTTGTCTCGTCCACTCAGGTGCCAATATTTCGCGCAGCGATTAGCACCCGAGACTCCCGAGATGCACTCGCCGTTCAGCATCGAGGCAGTCGTTTATCAAACTGCTCGTACAAACAACGTCAAGGAAAAAAAAAAGAGCGGTTAACTGAAACGCGTCAACAAAGAAGAAAAGGAGCCGCCCTGAACAAACAAGAGAGTATTCATTCTCTCTCCTTTTTTTTTTCTTTATGCGCCATAAGGAGCGACGAAGGCATGCAGAGATGATGCAGGAGCAAAAAAAAAAAAAAAGACTCGACGAGCGTCGTCGGCGGCCAGCTTTCTCCACAAGGCGGCGAGCATCATCAGAGCGAGCGGCGAGCCAAGAGAGACCGCAACAAAGGATCGCAGGAAAACAATGGCGTGCAGCGGTGGGAGAGGAGGAAAGGAGAGAGAGAGTGGCTATTGCTACGTATATGAGGTCTTCGTAAGGAACGCTCTCTCTGCTCTATTTTACCGGGGACGAGAAACGCTATCAAAGGAGTGAAATACGGGGCTGAGGGGGGGGGGGGGGAGAAAGTAAGGAGTGCAGATCTGCGCCACCCACAATCGCCACACTACGAACAACACCAGCCCCGGAAAAGTGGCGGTGGTGAGCGTACACACACGTAAAGGATACGGGTGTGCGTTCGTGCGGTTGCTCCCCCGCCCCCCTTCCCAATGCGAGTCGTTTTTTCCTATTGCGCGTTGCGGTGTTATTGCGCAGCAGACGCAAAAGCAAACAAAACGGTAGGGAACTTACGAGAGAGTATACGAAATCGAAGAAGAAGAGAAATAAGGAGAAAAAAGAAGCGGTATGTGAAAGTGGCACACCACGACGCTGGCCCGCGCCCACGGTCGAGATGAAACCGTCCGACTAATGTGCCGGAGAGCCTCTTTCGCACTTGGGCATACAATGCACGTCGTCGATTGGGTAATTGAACCGATTGGCACGCACTTCATCCTAGCTCTCTTCTCTCCCTCTTACTGCTATATATATATATATATATATATATATATATATATATATATATATATATATATATATATATATCGTGCATTCCCCACAGAAAGCGCGGCAGGCTACGACGGCACGCCAAGCAAGCTCTCTAAGCAGCGTGGAACGCCGCGCGCGATGATCGAATCCAATAAATTCTGAACCGGCGTAGTTGGGAAGTTGAGGTGCGCTTGTGTTGTGTATCTGTGAGCGCCCGTCAGTTTTCTTTACTGCGGCCTGCTTGGGGCCACGCGTGTTGTGTGTATTAGCTCGACGCAGCCCACATAGGAGGCAGCAACAAAAGAGCGTCGTGAGAGAGAAACACGAGAAGATGGTTGAGGAGAAGTGGGGGAGAGAAGCGAGAAGAGGAAGAGTTCTTACGGAGTCCGCAAGATGGAGGCTTTGCGGCAGAGCAGAGGGGGGGCGCGTGTCGTCGAGAGGAAAATAAAACTCACAGATATATAGTTCGAAATACGGAAAACGGGGGATTGGAAATTCGATAGGCGTGCACCGTAAATCACCTACATTGAGGTACCCTTCCCCCTTTTGCACTGTCGCAGCAGCGGGCCTCACACCTATCCCGACCCTGCCTTTACCGCTGGTACTTTCGTTCGATGAAAATAAACAAACGAACAAGAGGAGGTCACAACACAACCGGGAAGATTGTGGAGACAAGGCAAAGGAAATCAACGTGAAAAGAAGGAATCGCATAAAACGGAAGTAAAAAAAAAAGCAGAAGGATGCCGTGCAGTCCATTGTGAGTGGAGAAAGAGAGCTAGAAAATACTAAATAAAGAGCGAGAGATGTGCGGGTGGCGTGGCGGCGAAGGAGTTATATGCAGGCATGGTTAGACGTCTGGCAGGCGTCAGATGCTGGCGCTTGTTGAGGCATGAGAGTCACTACAGAACACACACACACAAAAAAAAATCACAGCATATTTACGGTGTCAATCATGATGAGTGGGGCGAAGCATCCGTCAGCCTATCCATGCTTCCGCGCGTCCGTTCGTTCTTGCTTCCGTACGTCCGCGCGACCATCCATGAGTCCGTCTATCCATCTGTCCGTCCGTCCATACGTCCATGCGTCTATCCATCCGTTCGTCCACCTGCTAGTCTGTTTGTGCGTCCGTCCGCGCGTAAATCTAGTGAACACTCCAAGTACCGCCATCTCCCATCTCAAAAACCCTGTGGCACATACCCGCTCTAGAGCGGGTATGTGCCACTGGTGGCTACATACATACATACATACATACATACATACATACATACATACATACATACATACATACATACATACATGCATACATACATACATACATACATACATACATACATACATACATACGGAGGAGGAGGAGGAGCGACCGAACCACGCCATAACGAGCTTCACCCCTAAAAAAAGAAAACAGACGTAACCTCGGATCATATGCAGCGACTCAAACGTAGACGTTTTCGCGCACCAAAACAAACAAAAGAGGAATGCCGAAAAAAAGTGGAAA